GTAGATCTGGGGCAATTCCCGTTGATAGGTATTAGCTCTTCCCCGCAATGATTCTCGGGTAATTATCATAACCTAGGAAGCAGGAAGAGGGACAAAGAAAAGATGGAGATGCCGGTAATCAACAGCAATTAGCATGCTGACATTTGACTCGATTAAGGCTAGAGAATGAAAATCCATTGCAAGATTCAGGCAGGATGACTCGATGACATCGGAAATAAACCGGACAAAGTTCCAATCGTTGGGGAACGGATGGAAGTGAGATGCTTTAACCTACGAGTTAAACAAAAGTTATACAACGACGATGTGTACAAATTGGAGGTAGCTCAACCAGGTCTATATTCTCTCAACATTGTTTCGTTACACAGTGGCTATAGACAAATAGTAAAGCGGTATTTAACAACAATCACGATGAAGTTATCAATTGAGGTTGAATTGGGGTTTGAGGCGGAGATAATGGCACGGCCAACCATAACGACCATGATGCGTGTCCTCGTCACGCAGTTCTCTCACATTTTGCAACCGCCAGGTGAACCTCACGAACATCTGTGATCTGAGTGCATCCTACCGTGAACAAAACAAGTTTCATTTCGTGTTCATACATAATCAGTACTGTTTTGAAAACCCCCACCACTACATTTATCCACCCATTTCATCGGTATACAATATCCAACGGGGTTATTGCCACCTATGAGTCCCTGGCTGCATATTTAGAAGATGGCAATCGCATTTGGAGGGCTTGCGACCCCTCCAGGCGTGTTCAAAGGTGCGCTTGTGAGGAGGAATGACCAACGATTCTGTCGTTGACACTCCTCGCTCAGCGCTTCAAGGTCCCACAATTCGCCGATCGGCTATCAAATGCGTTAGACCGCGCTCATAGTAGGATGAGGGTGCCTTACCATTCCCCAGAGTGCCAATAGATGATCATGCAGCCCTAGAACGTTGGTCAGTCGAGGACGTGAACCATAATTGCGAACCTACGATTGGGAAATTTCGGCGGCCATGCCTCGAATCCAATAGCATCTCCAGCCACTGCCGCGAAATGATTGTTCCAGAGCCATTCGATCGTCTCTGGGCAGCCCTCAACTCCAACGTACTCGTGGCCGTTGGAGACCTTTGCAGTTCTTGCTTCATCCGTTGCTTCTTCGTACCACTTGATCCACCCACTTCTCACAATGAGGATGTCTCCTTGGCGGAATTCGATGTTTTGTTCTTTAGCGATTTGCTTCATGTCATCAAGCTTGATGCAATGGCGAGACATGGGATCATATTGGATGCCCTTCTTCTCTGCCCATGCACAGTAATCGATCAAAACGCCGCGGCCAACAATGCCTCCCCTTTTGCTCCAGTCTATGTTTGTCAGCTTAGAACTTTCTTGCTTGCTTTTGAGTCCTTACAATCAATTCCGAGATGGCTCGATTTGGGTATGTCGTCGTGATGGACACCGTTGTAATACCGTCCATTCTGAGAATACCCATAATGTCCTGAATCTAGTTAGCCTTTTCGATTTGGAGGAACTTATGAAACAAGCTTACGGAGACCATCCCATTGGCTTCCGGACTGGGTATTGATCGTTATCTCATCATCGTACGAATATTCCTCGATCTTCTCCCTCCAATCCAGGATCTTATGCTGAAACTTCGTTCGACCGAATCCGGGGTTGAAAATTCGGTCCAGACTCCAATTCAAGACGACACTTCTACCAGTCTTAATCTCCGACGATGCTTTTATAACCACTTCGGGGGTGAGTAAGTTGAAAGTCCCGACTTCGTCTTTCTCTCCGTCCTTGTCGAACAAGCCCCACGCGGTTCCATGGCTACGTCGATGTCAGCATTGCCGAATGACATCTAGTTAACAGAGCTTGCATACGGCATCCCCTCAACTGGGGGCATATCCTTGTAATCTGGTAGCTTCGGAATAGCCATGATGATTGAAGCACTTCGAGGTATCTCTAACTTGAGAGGAGACTGCTCTCAAATCTAGTCAACACATACTATATCTACTGATTTCCGTCTCACCCCTCTCGCCGTTTTATGTCGGTACGCGTTCTGAATGAAAGTGTGGGGTACCCTATCTTGATATTTCCGGTTCGGGTATAATGACCCCTGGAACTGATATTCAGACCCCACCTTGCTCGGCTCTACCCCAGATACTCCGCATCTTGTACTTCTCATCGGATCAACACCACTGCTCGGTAATCGCAGGCCACATTCCGATTTCTACGTATGTTGTCATATTCTTTTCACCTGGGTAATAAATAGACGCCTTTCTGGCGGGGTTCCCCGGCAACGTCGGACCTACCTTCGGAGAGAGCAGGACTAAAGCTGAGGTGGATCATCACTTTTGAAGCTGCAGGCGACGGAAAGCTCTGCCATTTGTCGATAACTTCATATGTAGTTGAAGGTTTTTCGAAGTTACATTCCTCTTGCTTCTCGTTTCTCTAAGTCTACAACTCTCCAGGAAAAAGTCCCTTTAGTCTTTAGAACACCGACTTCCACCCTCTTCCACAATGCCTACCAAATCAGTCCATCCGGACCTCGTAATTAGCGAGTGCAATATACTCGACTGGCTTTTCCCAGATGAGGCGTCTATCTCTGAAACTCCGGTGTGGATAGATGCTTCAGACTCGTCCCATTCTCTATCTCCCAAGCAACTGGTCGGTTGGGTGAAGCGTTTTGGACTTGGCCTCCAACAAATGGGATTTACCACCGGCGACTCTGCTCTCATCTTCAGCTACAACCATATATTCATTCCTGTTGCGTACTTGAGCACCGTGTGTCTTGGAGTTGCGTTCTCCGGCGCAAGCCCCGCGTTCACAGTTGCAGGTACGTTAAACGATGATTAAATTCGAACCTAATTGACATCGGACAATAGAGCTTGCCCATCAGATACGAACCGTGAATCCCAAGATTGTGTATGTGCATCCGACTTTAGCGAAGACAGCAATTGCTGCTATGAAAGAAGTTGGACTGCCATTGGATAGGCTATATCTTGCTTCTGATACCCCCTGCGAAGAGACAGATGGTTTGAAAGATTGGCGGAGCATTCAAGCTAGCGAACAGGATGCTCGACATTGGAGATGGCCCGCTTTTACTAAGGAACAGTCGCGCAAGATAGTGGGGACGATCAATTTCTCGTCGGGGTATGCTCATCCTTCAGGGAGTCCACATTCCGGAACTAACATCTCCTAGTACAACGGGTCTACCGAAGGGTGTTGCAGTATCGCATTTCAATCTGATAAGCAACGTCAGTCAGATCCAGTCGATCTATAACTACGCCAAGGACGAGACATGGCTGGGGTTTCTCCCTCTCTATCATGCGTGTAAGTTGTCGACATCCCTGCGAGACATGCACATGGACTGACTTTTGTCCAGATGGCCAATGCTATGCCGTTCTGATTGCTACGAAAAATAACATACCCATCACCATCATGAAGCAATTCAACTTGGAGCAGTACCTCCGTCTCATTGAAGAGAAACGCCCCACCCGCCTTCAAGCCGTGCCACCCATCCTCGTCATGCTAGATAAGCGACCGGAAGTCGCTAAGTATGATCTCAGCAGTGTGAAAGAGATCCTCTGCGGCGCTGCTCCACTTTCTCGCGAACTACACCATGCGATTGAGAACAAACTGAACGTTCGAGTCACTCAAGGTTGGGGGATGTCGGAAACGACGTGCGCGGGTACAGGTGTTCCTTATCACAAGGAGCCGATAACGGGAAGCGTCGGTCTCCTGCTGCCCAACACCGTAGTGAAGCTGGTCGATGATGCAGGAAAAGAAGTAAAGCTGGGTGAGAGGGGAGAGCTCCTCGTCCAAGGCCCTCAGGTAGCTTTGGGATATTGGGGCAATAAGAAGGCCACGGACGAAACGTTCGTCGATGGCTGGCTGACCACGGGCGATATTGCGATCATGAATGCGGAGGGCTACATCTGGATTGTGGACCGGATCAAAGAATTGATCAAGGTCAATGCCCTGCAAGTCAGCCCGGCGGAGTTGGAAGCGGTCCTGATCGAAAACCCGAATATTGACGATGCAGCAGTGGTTGGAATCACCCTGTAAGCCCAGTGCCCACTAACTGAATTCCCCGCTAATGAACTTAGAAACGACGAGGAACGGCCGCGAGCGTACATCACACTTGCAGAGTCCGCGAGGGGCAAAATCACAGAAGCACAAGTCCAAGAGTGGATCAAATCCAAGGTTGCGAAACACAAGTGGCTGGCAGGGGGAGTCGTACTCGTCCCCGAGATCCCCAAACTTGCGAGTGGGAAGATCCAGCGCAAAGTGATGCGACAATGGGCGAAGAGAGATGCCGAGATAATTGAAAGCAGAGCAAAGGCTAAACTATAGAAGTTGCGATAGAAGCAGCATAGATTTTACAAGACGAGCTCACAAACTTCGGGGTACGGCTAGATTCTTGAGAACAGGGGCGCCTCACGTCCTCCCCTGAACAAATCCAACATCTCCTTGCTCATCCAAATCTCCCTCGATTTCGCCAGTCCGCGCTCCAAATCCACCATGCGATCCGCCTGCACGAAGATCCCGGCACCATTGCCTTGCCGGCCTTGCTTGATCAAGTGGCCGACAGCCAGGGCGATGCTCTCGGCTTTGTTGATCGGCACGCCGGCCTTGGAAAATCCTTGAGCCAGGACCTCCTCGGACCCGCCATCTTCACGGTTTTGGCGGAGAATTGGTGTGACGGTAATCGCTGGTGCCACCACTGAGATGGCAATGTTAAGCTTCGCGGTCTCCTGCTTCATCGCGCGCATCAACCCAACCACGCCGTGTTTGGCGGCGGAGTAGAGCGGTGCGCCGGCACTGGCGAGGTAGCCTGCTAGCGATGCCTGTTTTTTCATCAACTTTGAAATTGAAAATGGAGAATGTCGAGACTTACGGTGCAGATGATCGAGCCCCCTGACTTGCTCTTCCGCATGAAATGGACGGCGAGTTTAACCGTATCGCAGAAAGCGTCCATGTCAATATTCAGGACACGGCGATCGGGCTCGGCCAGCCTTCCATTGTTATCATACTTGTCCGTGAAAAATTGATCTTCATGCTCCGCAATCCCTGCATACTCAGTCAGCATAATTTCTCGAGATACGAAGAAATGCAGCTACGGACCGGCATTGGCAAAGACTGCGTCGATTTGGCCGAACTTGGCATAACCTCCCTCAAATGCCGCTCGTTGCTGTACCCACGAAGTGATCTCGGTCTTGTGGAAGAATAGTCGCTCCGATGGAATCCCCAGATCGGAGGGTGGAGGGGTGCGGTCGATGATGATGAACCTATTGGTATTGGAGACGCTATCGAGCAACTTCACGGTTGCGAGTCCAATTCCGGAGCTACCGCCGGTCACAACCACGACCTTATTCTCGATGCCTCTCAAATCGGCTTCTGTGACCCTAAAAGTATCCATTTCGCTAAAATGCCCTTTTGTTACTGCCGGCGATTACCGAGGATATCCACGCTCTTAAAAGGAAGACAAACTTGAAAGGTACGAAAGAGGAGATCGAATAAATAATTGGAAGGCAAGTTAGACACTGGACTCTGGGATTATACATGGAAATATGGAAAAAGAAATCGAACATTTACGCCAGGTGCCTCTCATCAGTCATCTTGTATCAACTATCAAGGCTCTCCGCGGTTAATTTCTTAGGGACCAACCGACGACTCCCCGCATGCGGGGGCGGGTGGGCCATACGGACGTACAGTGTAGTGGAACGCTGCGCATGGTGGTAAGCCGTTCTATTAGGCATTTAGGCACGGCTGATATTTATAGCACTGTAGACCGTATTTCCGTTCTCGAATGTCCATTGCTCTTGATACTAGAGACTAGATAGTCCCAAAAGTAGTTTATCAGTACGAATGGAAGCTCAGGTGAGGTTGGCTGGGAGAAAGTAGTGTGCCTCAGGCCATAAGGCACAACTACATATAGCACGTGACATCAACCCCCCTTGGAATCCTCTCTGGATTTGGTGAGCTGTCCTTGACGCGCTGATGGGATCACGAAGCAGCGCATCGTGTCTTCTTCTTCCACATCAACGAGGATGGCGCGAGAAACATTTGGACGGCCTCGAATAGGCCAATTCCTATCCTACCTCCTCTTCGCCATACTAATTCTCCCTTCGCACGCCCTACATTTCTTCATCGACTCCGCCGGACCGAAATGTTTCTACGAGGAACTCCCGAAAGACACCATGGTAGTTGGTACGTATCAGGCCAATATATTTGGGATCATATACCTCGTAGATGCTAACGGTTGGTTGGGTAGGGGACTACAAAGCGGAGCGATTTAGTGAACAAACCGGCAAATACGAAATCGACAACCACATGAAAGTCTACATCTCAGTCGAGGAAGTGTTCGACAATGACCACCGCATCGTCAGCCAACACGGCGACGCGAAAGGCCGCTTCACATTCAGCGCAGCTGATTCCGGCGATCACCGATTATGTTTTGTCCCAACCCCGGCATCGATCGCGGGAAGCTGGCTCTCCGGCGGTCACCCGGATAACAAGGGTATCAAGTTCACCTTGGACATGGTGATCGGCGAAACGAGTGCGATCGAGAGCAACGATAAGGGGAAGCTTCAGGATATTGTCACCCGAGTGAGGGATTTGAATGGGCGCCTGCAAGACATCCGGAGGGAACAGGTCTTCCAAAGAGTTGGTCCCCTGGAATTTGGAACCATTCTCGAGAACGAATATTAACTTTCTGGCTTAGGAACGCGAATCCGAGTTCCGCGACCAGTCCGAATCGACCAACGCCAAGGTCGTAAAATGGACCCTCGTCCAGCTGGTGATTCTGGGCGTTACGTGTGCTTGGCAACTGTCGCATCTTCGATCATTTTTCATCAAACAAAAGCTCACGTGAGGGGCCCTTCGCGGTCAGGATATGCATCGGCCCAAATACAGGAGCATGGGAGATGATTCGGGGTTGGCGAATGGTTATGACAGCTTTAGTTGGAACGAATCCAAGACACATGCGGGATGTTCGAACATTCTCTATTTGTGTGGAGGACTGGGTGGCAGGCGTAATCCCGATGAATTCTAAGTCTGTCTTTTGACTGCAAAAAGTCCTAGCAAATCCCACTCGTGTCATTCTCCATTATCAACAGGCTATTACGAACAGCAGAAAGTCTGCAAGTCGAATACGCATTGCATATATTGAAGCTTGCGTGTATGGGATCGCCCGAGCGTCCCGACAGCGAAGTCTAAAGTGTTGTTGTTCCGTATTCCATGAACAGGTCCATTGTCATAGCCTTGATTAGGTATCATACCCGTTCTATGTTGTAAATCATTACATGTTTCATGGTGTTCGGGTATAGTAGCTCGCGAAGCCTCGAAATTGCCAACCTGGGGAGAGCAGGTACAAACATTCGTACGTCACCCACCCCCATCATCCGAGTGATCATCATCCATCAGTTCTGGAAAGTTGATTTGGAGATAACATAAGGATCGCATCACTGGTGGCTAGAGTCGAAGTGAAGGCTAGCATATGCGCCACATCCTGCAACCTGGCCGAAGTGAGGGTCTGGCTGGAATCAGGGGCCCCTAGTCGAAATGACGTCGTGTGGCTCAACATCGTCACTGTACATAGTGCAGTACTTGTAGTTACAGTGCTTGTAACTACAGTAATACTTGTTTCACGTAGACCTGACCACTCCTACCAGGTCGGCATAAGAAATGTACTAATACCCAGGCGCTATGAATCCTGCAAGTTCCGCTACGGGACTGATATAGCAGATATACGATAAAGTATATCGTCATACGCAGGAACCATGCCTGCTTAGTGCTTCCATGTTCTCCAGACCTGGATTTAGGAAGCGATCATCCTCGAGAATACCTAAGCAGAAAGGCGCTATGACGAGGTTCTGTATTGTCAACTGTCCAGTGTCGACATCTCCTCCACCATCTCGCCCTAAACCAGTTTTCTGAAGCCATTCTTACCGTCCATCAGGTTCTTTCAGTGGATCAAAGTGCTCATCCTTACCCTTCCCCGCAACCATGATGTATGCCGGCGCTCCTTACGGGGCTCCGTCAGGCAATGATTTGGCCGTACAGACGGCCTTTGATGAGCATTGCAGTTCATACAATTCCGCCCTGTCCGACCGATTGTCCGATCGAAGCTCGTCCATAAGTACGCGCAGTTTCCCCTCTGTTTGCAGTTTTCATTCATTCGATAGTCTACACAAATCAGAGACAACAAATCCAACTTGCATATACCAACACCTCCACAGGCAATCACAAGCCCACACATCATCTCATATACCAACAAGTCCTACATCCACCGTCTACGAACACCGCTATTGTTCTCGCTGCGGCCATCCTCTTCCATTACCATTCCTAAGTTCCCATACTTCGACACACCGTCGGAGATATCAACACACACGACCCCCTGAGCACACTTCCCATCACAGACATTCCAGGCATCACCGGCACTCTGTTCCCCTTGCGCTCTCGTTCGACGACAACTCGCAGTCGGACCCCCACGATCCTCACATCCGCATTTACGACCCTAGCAGCGGACGTTCCTATCTTCGACCTCTTCCACGACATCAACTATCATCTGTCGACGAACAGCGAGCTCGTGAACAACTAGCCACCTTTCTCGACTCCGTGGATCCTCCTACCAGTCCGAACGATACTACATCCGAAGACGCAGAATCTCGACCAACAAGACCTCTGCGCTCAGCATCCACGCAAAGCACCCTTCGCCCTACCAATCGACCCTCCGCCGCCGTTACTCAGTCACGAAGTGCTCCCGCCACCCTTATCGAAGGTCAAGTTCCAGAAGAAGAACCTGTCCCCCTTGAACTCCTCTCTCAAAACGCCGAGGTTCCCGTCGACGAAAACATCGAAGTTCAGCCTCAAACCCCAGAAACCAAGAAATCAAACATCATGCGTCGCTCCCACCGTACCGTCGCTCCCCGCACCACCGCCACCCGTCGCCCCACTCTTGGTGAGCGTCTCCGTGGCCGTCGCGCCCGCACCACCACGAGGCGTACTCATGGACACTCCTTGACAGGGCGTCCCACGACCACTACACACACTACTACTAGTCACACCACCAAGCACCCCCATGGTCACGGTCATGCCGGCTATGGTGCTGGTGTAGCCCCGGTCCACGGTCACGGTCATGGCTATGGTGGTGCTGGTATGGCCCCGGTCCACCATCAGAGGAGAAAGGCGAGCTTTGGTGACAAAGTTAGCGGTGCTCTGATGAAGTTGCGGGGCTCTTTGACAAGAAGACCCGGCCTGAAGGTAAGTTGATTCGCGCTGCTCTTTTCTTCGAAAATGAGACTAATGTAAACCAGGCTGCTGGCACTCGTCGTATGCACGGAACGGATGGACGCCGTCATCGCCATGCCTATTAGAGAGCAATGAGCGGAAGAATTGAATCACGGGTTTGGAGCTTTTGGAGCATGGAATAGAAGAATGACTTGCTGGCAAGGAGATCCGATTTGAGAGCCAGTTTCTTATGTTGATGGAACGTGTTACGATGATACCTCTTGACGAACCCTTGTACCATTAGCTGTATACTTAGCGAGAATCCTAATGATGATTCATGAATAACTCTGACTTGCACTCATTGAGCCATGGTAGTTCAGGACATCTTCTTACCGTGCTGAAAGGATGAATACAGCGCGTGAGAAAATAATGAATTCGTTAACATCAATATTTACCAAGCATCCTTCTGTTCTTAATAGCAGCTTAGACTAAGGTGGTGCTGTATACTCCATAGAATACACGTCGTTGGATATTTAGGAAAATGTAACAATCGTGATGAAAGGAGTGTTGGATAGCGGGATGACGGGGATCAAGTGCACGTTCCACCAGCCGCGGATGTGACGCTCTTCAATCTCCGTCCCGCTTGACCTGGACATCGTCATTGCTTTAGGCTACAGAATAATACTCCCTTTCGCTATCTGCTTCCAGATGAGAAACGTATCAGCCAATCTTTGAATCCAGCGAGAAACTACAGCGTTCAAACCATACCCAGCCCACCCTTACCCTATCCCGAAACCCCCTTCCCGGTCTCCGACACACCATGTCCTTCGACGACTCCTCTCGCCTCGAGTCGCAGCCATCAGCATGGCGGCGCGAGGACGACCCCCAATACACCGATGATCCGGAGTTCCGCACCTTCACCACCGAGCTGGGCGATAAGCTATTTAGCCTCACCAGCAACGTCTCGCGGTTGAGCCAACAGGTCGCGCTGCTGGGCACGCGGCGGGAGACGGCGCGCGTGCGGGAACGGGTGCGAGATCTGATCGAGGAGACAGGGAACGGGTTCAAGGATATCGGCGAGGGCCTCAAGAAAGTATCGGCGTGGCCGGACTCTGGGGTATGTTGGGATCGCGATCCGACTGAGATGACCCGCTAACCCTCCGCAGCCATCGCAGAAGTTCACGCAAGGGAAACTGAACCGCGAGTTCCAAGCGTCGTTGACCGAGTTCCAAGCCCTCCAGCGCGCAGCGATCGACAAAGAGCGCGCCTCCGCTGCCGCCGCTCGTGCCGCGCTGGACGACCAACACCAGCAGGAGGCCGCGTCATCCGGCGGGCATGGGCTGCAGCAACAACACCAGCAGGAAGAGCAGCAGCACCTCGCCAACCAGGATGAGGTGGACTTCCAGGAGGGGCTCATCGTCGAGCGGGAGCGGGAGATCCGTAACATTGAGCAGAGCGTCACGGAGGTGCAGGAGCTGTTCCGCGACGTGGCGCACATGATCCACGAGCAGGGCGATCAGTTGGATATCATCTCCACGAACGTGGAGGGGGTACGGGATGATACGCGGGGGGCGCACGTGGAGCTACGGACGGCGCAGCGGCATCAAAGAAATGCGAGGAACAAGGCGTGCTGTTTGCTACTAATCCTGGCGGTTGTTCTGACCATTGTGATCTTGGCGGTTGTTTTAGCGTAGTTCGAAATCATTGGGTACAAGGACTTGTTGTTTCCCATGGGTACCGCCTGGGGTTCCTATATGGTCATTTCACTGGAGTTTGGGGGGTATGGGTGCGGCTCTGATCTATCCGGATGCGGTTTAGATATCAGAGAGGGACCTGTTTTGTATATTCTTTCTAGCGCTGAGAAGTCTGATTGCACTGACGTGAGGCAGTGCTACGGCTCTTTTAATCAACCCTCATACAACTGACAGCGCCCTATCGTCGCCTCCCCCAGTGTCTACCACGGTACTGAATTTGACAATGGATGTACCACATCATTCTGCAGCACCACCTCGTCTTGGACCAAGACTAACATGGATCTCTGTTGAGGTACCGGTACAGTATGTTGATCAAGAGTGAAAGATGCATCATGAGCTGGCCACGACGGTGAATCTAGGTACCGTATTACTATCCCGTACCGGTACAGCAAACTGCCGCTTTTGTGCTATTCAGAGCACGTACTGGTACCCATGTTAGGGGCAATTTGCGTCAAGGTTCCTTCCCAATCTCGCGATGAGCTAAACCTAGATGACAATGACAATGACAATGACGACGATGATAACACCAGAATTATCGAAACGTTTGGAAGAACCCCACCAACCTTTCTCAAAACTTCTTCATCTCCCACTCTTACTTCCTCCATTCCGCACATTCAATTCTACTTCTCTCTCAGTTGATCAATCCTCTTCGGGGTATAAGTGGCTATAGGATCCCTTCGCCGGGTCAGGATACGACCGTTGTTAAAACCTGTGAAGCTCTATCAGCTTCCTATCTCATACCCTTCCCTGTAAGTCACTTACCCGAACCCGAGAAGAGAAAGGACCTTTTGCTGACACTATAGCAGTATCCTGAGGAGAAGCCCGTTCTTCCAATTATCTGGACTGTGTTGCGTCAAGCCAGCCTGACCGAACGCGTACTCCAATCGAAGTCCTCACTTCAAGTTCGACCTATCTGATCCAATGCCGGGTGTTCCAGCACGCAGTGGTGGCCGTGCTCCCAGAGGCTGTGGCGGGTGTGGCCCTGACCCATCGCGCGCAAACGGAGTCCGATTGCCACCTGCAAACGGACTCGGAGGAACTCCCCTAACACCTTTTTCTGGAACCAGCCAGAACCCAAGGCCATCGAACCCAGCAGGAGGATCAAGTTCAATTCGCAACAATACAGGTCGACCTGTCATTTCCGCTACCCTGAGACCTGCGCCACCACCAGTCAACCCGGCATGGACATCTTCGGCGCCGTTTCTTACGAGTGCCACTGCTATCAACACGGGAGCCATCCAATCGAACACTTCTGAAACATATACTTTCCGTCGGGTTGCATCATCCGCCTCGGGATTCGCCGTCGCTCCTTCTAGACATCCTGCATCAGCATTGGGCAATAGACTCCCCATCGACACCTCCGGCAACATGAACCCCCCGGGAGGTGGCTCAAACGCCAGTGACGGTGGGGGACCTAACCCCGGCATCGACTGCTTTTGGGGGGAAAACTTTACCCCCTGGTATGGTGACAACAACCAACGAGCTGGCCAAGGCATGCCCAAAGTCGGCGTCGACATCGTAGCAGAGTCAGTGACAAACCCTGGTTCCGTTCGCGGTTCCCAAGGACCAGTTGCGGCGGGGCCAGGCGTCGTTGGAGATGGCGTCGGAACGAGGAGCATTAGGGGCTCAGAGGTGTCGATCCACCCAGAAAATCCTGACCCCACCCCGATCACCTGCTATGCGCCTTCGACGCTTAGTCGGGTGGTTTTAAACACCTCCCGGGACCGCCTTGCCAACATCCAGGCACACTGGAACATCGGTCGACTACAGTACGTGGCGCCGAGCTCGCGGAACTTCTACACAGTCACGGATGTTCACGCACAGTTGGTGAAGGCCGTGGCTCTCTGCAACGACCTTCGCGAGGAGAATGCGCGTCTCGGGGGTGAATGGAGTCGAGCAACCAATCACATCCGGCGGCGCGCAGAGGGCTTCATGCAGGCCGTTGCGGGGTGGCTGGAGGTCATTGACCGACGGGAGAAGAAGGAGGAGGCGCGGAAGCAAGTGTTGAAAGAGGCGGCAAAGGAAAAGAAGATCCGGTTGATGAACAGAGTCGCTACTCATGAGCGGTGTGTCACAAACTCTCAAGGTCAACAAGCGGGGCCATTCGCCGCGGGCGGTGTGAGCGGCCCGGTCGGCGACGTACAGAACGATAGCGGTCCGTCGAGAACCCAGGACGCGAACTCGCATGCTACTGCGGCCGGTACTAACAACCTTGAGGAAGACGGGCTGAAGGAGTCCGCAAGGGACCTGCGATTCCAAATGGATACTCTTCGACCGTACTGGGAGGCACTCAACACGGAGAATAACCAACTGCGACTAGAGGCTAGCCAGGCAAAGTTTCCCCTTCCCGCACCGAAGACACCGAAGGCACCGACAGCACCCGTCGTCGAACGCCAGCCTCTGGACCTGCTTACCGATGCCCCCGAGGACGCACAGATCAACCCGGACACTTCCATCGCCTCCAGCCCGAAGAAGCTCACCAGGTACACACTGCGAATGATCGAGCGAGAGGGACGGGTCGATATGATCGCGAGAGAGCTCCAGTCTCAGGCCGGTCGGTCGCTGCCGGAGGATGCCGACGAAGCGCCATCACCCACAAGGAATCGTGCCGCCCCTGCAGACGAATGCGAGCCGCGTTCGATCGACATGATTGCGAGAGAGATCCATAATCAGGGCAGACTGCGGGAGGTCCCCGGCGGAGTGCGATCGCCCGCGAGGAATCGTGCTTTCGAGGCGGACGAAGCAGCGGCGCTGTTGATCGATATTTCGGTGGAATCGGAAGCGGGAGGTGGGTACTGGGGCTGAAACGGGGGGATGGGATGGACGAAGGAGTGTGAACGAATACAGGGCATGTTCTAGAGACGTTGTTCCCGGCGGTCCGTCAGAAGGTGAACTTGAGAAAAACTGTGGAAGAACCCGGAATCAATCAAGCTCCCTATCCGTGTCATTCTGGTAAGTTTCCGGGCTTGTGAGTGCTGAGTGGTTGGACTGACCTTTGGCTTTAGACATGGAATTCCGAATCCAACGCTGGGAGAAGTTCTACGCAGAGGTGAGCCTGTACGCCTACTTGGCGGACGATGGATGGATGGATTCAGAGCAGTAGGGAAATTCAAACCATGAGAATGGATGTTTCTAAAAAGACTTCCTAGAAAATGTCAATTATATTGACGACCAACTCTGGGGGTCTGAAACGACGCCATGCTCCCCGTGATGCGAATGTATCGGCGTTTCGTACAGTATAATACAGGTACCACTCCATCCTACAGGGAACTCCATCTATCGCGCTCATGATTCTACTTCTTCTCCTTCTCTTCCTTATCCACATCCCACTCGTTCCCTGCTTCCCATCCCCGCTGCCACACCTGCTGCTCCTTTAGCCGCTGGATCCTCACATCCTTATCATCGCTCTCATGGATCTTCTCCAACTCATGCCTCCGATGTCCCTTCCGCCCCCACGTCGCATCCATCGGTCTCTCCGTCGGCCCATACACCGCGCGCTTCCCCTCCAACACAAACTCATCGCTCTCACTAAACGGCTGAAACCGCTCGAGCTTCCGCGCCAGCGCGTCCAGCTCCGCCTTCCCGCCCTCCCGCAGCGCGCACACCTTCTCGATGTACTTCGCTGTGCCCTCGGAGATGGGTCGGTCGTGCAGGCGCGCGTAAGTGATGGACTTAGCGGCGAGGTGGAAGCGCATATCTTTGGGGCCGTCGACGAGCTCGAGGATCGCGGAGGGCGCTTGGTCTTCTTTGAGGGGCTCGATGTGCAGGACACGGGTGTAGCCGCCGGCGCGGTCACGGTAGCGGTCGGCGAGGGGGCCGAAGACTTTGGGAATGAACTGGTGGGGGCGCTGCGAGTTGGATGGGAGAGTCAGCAAGTGTTCCCTCTAGGTGCTCGTACAGCGCCATGGGAAGGAATTAAATGCGGCTTACGAAGAATATCTGTTCCGCTCTTCGTTTTGAAGCCTCCGTCCCTTTCTTCCCTAGAGTGATGACCTTCTCGACGAAGCGTTGCGCCTCCTTGGCTTTGGGGAATGTGGTTCGAATGGTCTCATGCTGGATGACCGCTTCCAGTAGGTTTCGGAGGAGAGCTTTGCGGTGGGAGGATTTGCGGGAGAGATGTCGATATTTGGGCCTTCCGCCGGCCATCGTGTAGGAAGGGGAGGGAGGGAAAGGGAAGGGTTAGAGGTGAGGATGAAGTTGGTGTCCAAGCGAGGAAAGAGAGCAATGGGTTAGATTATTGATGGATATTGGACTATATGGGTCATGATGAGGAGATATGGGCTTGTGAAGAAAGAACAAGTAGAATCCAGTACACCTGCTGTAGAATGATCGCGTTGATGAAACCGAAAAGTTCAAGGTGAGGTCTTTCGGCCAATATTCGGATATTCCTCACGCTCAATATCGACGGGTCCAGATATCAATTCACAGATGGAGTGACATCAACCTTGGACCTCCCAAATCGTTTATGTTTCGAACAATCCCAATCAATTGTTTCTCCCATTTCAATTTCTAAGTCAATCACGAACCCAACTGCGACCACATTAGCAGGAATTGTAGCCGAAAAGCGTCACCGCATGCGGTGCCCCCCATAATCTCCAGCCATGGGCTTCACAACTGGCTTCGTATGCGTTTACAACCTTCGCATTTGCCCAATCTACTAACAGCCTATAGCTCAGCGGAATCACCATTACTACCTCCCTCCTCTACCTGACCGTCCTCTCCCAGAACAGCACTCGCGCCACCCAACGCACCCTCCTCTCCCAACAGCGCGCTCTCCTCACGCAAACCTACGACCCGGTCCCCTCACTGCCGGAACCGCGAGCACACACCGAAAATGCCGGACTGTCCGAGATGGCGAAGGATCGGTGGAACGCAGATGTGGAGAGGTTAGCGCGGTGGGCGAGTAATATCAATTGGGATGAGGTGAGGGAGCGGGTGGAGGTTGGGGCGGGCAATGTGTGGCGGAAGGTGAGGGAGGCAGGAGAACCGATGCGGGAACGGGTGGAGAATGCGGAGGTGGAAGAGGAGAAGCCGAAGGAGGTAGCGGTCACGGTTACGCCAGTGGAGAAGAGTCGGTGGGGGTGGGGGAAGTCGAGTTGATGGGTTGGGATTGGCGCTAAGATACCACTTTTGATTCAGAGCAATGTCATGGGTTAGCCGTGAGAGGGAATGGATGACTCTAATGCCGACTGGATTATCTCCGTATTGGTTTGAACAAGTATGGAAGCCGTGCGTCATTCCCCGCACTTTTTGGGGACATATGTCGTTCACGTAGTGGATTACGCCCATTCTGGCATTGGGGGTGATAAAGGTAGTATCATATGAGAGGGCTTGGATAACTCGATGTCCTCCTGAGGGACATTGGGGATCTAAGTCTCTCGCCTGCTAGGGTTTGGACGACCGAGTCCACTCGACCTAACGCTGAAGCCGGTAATGGATGGAATCTCCAATAAACTCGAACAGCACATCCATATGGCGAATTCCGAGTCGAAGGCTGGAATGATATAGTGCATAGTTTGCCGAAGCGTGGGTCATGCGAACAAAACTCGATTTTCGCAAGCTCTATTGAGTAATTGTACAATGGTTCCGCATCCTCCGACGCTCATAACCGAGGACCGTTTTCGTCAACAGAGTGGTATCTTCCTGCCATCGTCGCGCCAGGGTTTCAACGTTTAATGGGCGGCTTGCGTCTTGTTCCGAACGATGTGGTTTCGCGGGTCGTTTCGGTGTTCGTCAGCTGCATCATGTAAGTCATTGTTCGCACTCCGGGGGTTCGGTAGGAGCGCATACTGTTGGCCATCGCGGTTGCCATGCTGTTCACTCCGTAGAGGATGACGACGCCTATGATTCGAAGCTCGTTAGCCGGGTCGGATAGAGTTTCGTTACTAAGTTCGGGATATCGGGAGTTCGAGAATCGGCAAAAAGAGATCGAATGGGACACCATTTCCGAAAACGTCCAAGCGATTCTACTAATGCAAATCTAGGGAGCACATTGACACATACCGCTGATGTAGAAGGGCCACATGGGCTTCACTGAAAAGTTGTTAGCTTGCGCCGTCGAGCCCGGTGTCGACGCAATTGACGACTTACTGATTGGCGCAGGCCATTTTCTGCCGAGGAGACTCATGTTGACGATGATGGAGATTGTCGGTCGACGGGTTATAGGGAATGGAGGACGGTCGTTGATGTCGAGTTGGAGAGCTGGTGGTCGTGAAGTCGAGAAAGCAGCTACTGTGAGAGAGATGTTGAAGAGGGTCACGTGCACGGGAGCTCCGGGATGTTACGATGTTCAGCATCTTGTAAACAACAGACGCCCGGCTCGCAACTCGCAACAGAAGCGTCTACCTCACAATAAAAGGAGTTTGAACGAATATTGGGCGTGTTTATTCGTCTACTCGTTTATATTCGCTCGCAATGGCTTCCTCCCTTGACGGCTGTGTCGCCTCCCTCCGCTCCAGCATCTCGCTTCTCGACTCATCCATCAGCATCTTAGACTCCGGCGTAAACGATTTCCCACGACTTGCAAAAGTGCTCCAAACAACTCGAGTATGCTCTCTTCTTGCGGATGATGGGGTTATCCTGGCTAACTTTTAAACAGCACTTCGAGCTCACCTCCGAGTCCCAACTTCAATCTGCCCAATCCGCACTGCTCTCTGAGATCAGCCCCGAAGTAGCAGCATTGCTCGATCGCGTTGCAGGCTATCTCGACAAGCTTGAGCGGCGCGAGAAGAGTCTCATCGCCAAATACGAGCTTCAAGCGGGACGACTCAATGAAGATGTCCCTGCTCCACGGCAAAACAAATTTCCACAACGGGAGAGCAAACCGACCCGAAGCGGCAGTGCAGGCGCTAGCGGTGCCGGGGCTGCGTTAGGGAATATGAAGGCCATGCAGCTGAGGCAGAAGAAAGAGAGGCTGAGCTATGCGGTTGAGCGCCTGGAGATGCAGGCGAAGCAACAGGAGCGGCGGTTGAGGATGAGTATGGCTGCACCGGGACCTTGAACGGCCTCGTTGGGAGCGAGTCTAGAGATCTTGGTGGCCGCAAGGAAGTCAAGACCCATGCCATAGAGCTGGAGTCTACCTAAGCAGACGCTCACGGAGACACCTGATAGCGTTGTTTCCGAGGATGGGATCACCACCCTAACGAAAGATGAAGGAGGGGGAGAGGCAAAATCGCACGCGCTCCGGTGAGCTGATGACTTTCCTAATCTGAGATTCTTCACGGGAGAGACCCCAGAAGAGAAGAATTACGCAGTATATTACTCGGGTACTCTCATCGTACGGTTCAGGGGGGAAGATCAGGATGCTAAGGATGAAGAGGGGCAATGCACCAGCCACTTCGTGTGAAGAGGAATAGAGTATAGACTCGAGCACGAGACTGGACACGAAAAGTGTCCCCAAGTTAAAGTTGAAGTTGAAGTACTCAATGGCGCTATTAGGTCGGTTGGCATTGATTCTACGGTTTCCGTATCCGAATGTCGGTCTGGCTCTTCGCGGACATATCGGTCACAAAGACCTGCGATATCTTATGCAGCACACAACGGCTCTGAAGCCAGGCGACGTCGCTCGAGCATCGAGACATTTCTACAAGATGCGCGACTTGGTGTTGCAATTGGCGCGCCAAATTTGCCTCACCACGCAGGCACCGGCACCGTCCCAGGAGTTACATAGGCAGGTTGGGTGTCGCGATTGATCAGGGACAGGGTCATCACTAAGGCTTGGGCGAAATTCGACTGCTGGTATAAGGAAGCGATCGTTCGATAGAGTTCATTCTGAACTCCCTAGTCTTCATCGGACAAGAAATATCTAAAATCGCGTTCATCGCACTAGCATAGATGACAATTTTTTCTTTCGCCTGATTCTCAAGTCCGACTATTACTAGTAACTGGTCATCTGTTTGTCTAATTCATGCTAAGGCTCCGCGCAATTATACTTGTGTAGGAGCTATCCATTATGTCTCGCCGTCCTGCTAGATCCCAAGAGCTTGGATATACTCCGACTGGTGTTTCTTGCGCCATCCAGTATCTTTTGTTCTCGCGCTCCCCCACAGGTTTCTGTATTTCACTCCTATTGTCTTGCATTCGGCAACGAGGTTGACGTCGCACCGAACGCCAACTTCAAGCGCCCTCGCCCCCGATAAAATGTTTCTTATTGATAATATCTCAAAGGTATGGCAGTCCTCCACCGAGAGGCTTCATCCAACTCTTGGGCGTATCTTGATAATCCGTTGGATCCTCGGAGAGCGCGGCGAGAAGTCGTGAAAACATAAAAAGATGACAATATGAGCAGTGATATATGCAATTGCTTCTTCGGCTCCAGCAGAAGAACCTAATTGGTTCGTGTCCACCCTAAGCCTTTGTTCTCTATGAGACAATCTCTTGTCCCGACGAGACGGTTTGCTTACCTCATGTGTGTTGTCGACAACCGTCCCGAATGATTCTACACTTGAAATTTATGAAAGCATGTCTAGAGAGACGTGGAATGTGTGACATGAGGAACTTGTATCAACTATGTTTTCTAAACAACCAAGATCTGTTGAAAGAGAAACGAAAGCGGATGAACCATCTGCTTCTCTCAGCCTGTGTTATCCTCTCCATGGCAAGAAGTTAAGCCACAGTGTAGTCTTTCATGCACCTACCAGCTTCTATGTCTTGATAGAAACTACACTATTCCATGCCTTCAGAAGCACTACGGCCTCAGTTTGGAGAAGATGCTACTCGGGTCTACCCAAGTCTACAAGCCCTCTACCGCCATCGCTTAGTGTCTGCAAGCTTTCTCTTTATGTATGCTGCTTCCCGAAGCCACGTACCTGATGTGTGGTGTGTCATCCTGGTGACTTAGGCTCGAATGACCCCGGAGTAACCAAACAGTCTCTCTCAGGGATTAATATGAGATCGTATAGGTCTGGTACCCCTGCGGGTGCACCTCTTTATGGTCAGTCCAATGGATGCCCCCATTTCAGTTCGTGTTCTTGTGTCGAAATGAGGCTGCAAGGTCTCTATGGGCCATGCGCAGCTTCTGTGAGGCAAGTTGTCGTTGTTCCCGGACCAATTCACCGCTTCTGCGAGTGGTGTTCCTTTGCAAATGTCCCTCGTTATCACCACTTCCTCTTCACCTCACTTCTCATCAGTCATCCTACACTTCAACCGCCATGAGCATCACCATCTAGTGAGCAAGGATCGTCCCAATATCATCTAAATCTCTAATATAAGTCTGAGAGACTCCAGAGAAAGTTGGGTCTCGTCGCTGCGCTGTGCCATTGGCAGAGAGGATCACACAGTCGATCGCGACACGGTTCAAAATGGCAGTGAAAAGGCTGCATGTGAAAGCTGATGGATTTTGCGCCACCTCCCTGCGTGCCTAACTGCCTGTATCTGTGGCGGTGCACGGTCAGTGGTACACGTTGCACCGTCGAATTTGGACTGATTGCCAGATGCGAAATGTTAAAATGCTGGTTATGGGCTTTAAATCCTATTCCCCAATTCTCACAGCATTATGTGTTTTGGCGATATTAGAAGAGCGCAACTGCGATTCGTGGCTGCTTGTGTGGATGTCAGTGGAATTCAGTGGTCGAAGGCTGACGAAGGCCCTTACCGGCAACAAATAAACTCTGCGACGCTCTTTCTTCCGAAACTCTCTACTACACTCCTCGAATGCAGACTATTTATCGGCCGTAGGCTCTTCCTAGAAGCACACTAGACCAAATATAGCCCGGTAGTGAGGATGGGCTCGACCAGAGAGGAGTGGTGAACGAACCACTTGAAACTCATACTCCTCTTCGACCAGAGGTCACAACATCTGTACAGAAGCTTGAAATGCATAACGGGATGGGCGGATACCGTTGCGCGTGTGCGTCGACTGACTCAGTCACCCGTGACGACCAGCATTATCTCTGACATAATAACACCTTCTGCCAAAGTCTCCTTGCTGTTTTCATGTCTTTTTTCCATTATCGACACTTGTACCCCATATATGTCTGCTTGAATCATGGCTCTAGCCAACAACACTTCTCCAAAAGCGCACTGCCTGACAGTCAACACCACAGCTTCCACTGAATATCGCGGTTAGAATCATGAAAGTAGTCAGCTAGTTCATCTTCATCAGCAGCCCGGTTGCTGTTACGTACTGGAGCCCCTTTCCATCTATCAGAGTATGACGTGTTTGCTTGTGTTTTGAAATGTAGACCTACACGACTCCCTATTCATTGCTTTGCAGATTTCATTTTCAATCTGACGCACGTCGAATGCAGCTCCTCATTCTGAAATGTAGCTCCTCATTCTTCAAATCAGTATTTGGTCTCTGTCTACGGACGAGCGTATGGATTCATTGCCCGGATCAAATGGCACAGTGTAGCGCAATCATTTTGCTGGGCCTTCAATAGCGCAGATTGCTGAGACGTCTTTTCTTTTATGGACAGGTATTCACCAGAATGCACCCAATGCTCCCAATCTGCTCAATCTTCTGATTGATGGTCGCCCCCTAACATTCTGTCTGGATATGGTAGGAAATTCTTCGGTGTGGATTAATAGCTGCCTATATTGTGGCCGTCAAGTGGACCCCTGAAAGTTCACCTTCCACTAGCCGCTGGGCGGATCGATACCAATACACTCGTCAACGCGGTCTCCAGGGCGGTTAAAATTTGGGACAAGATGTTCGTCCTGTATTCAGTGGCATTCCATATTTGAGTTGGATTGTTGGCGAGATGTGGGTTATATTGCGTAGCTGATGGGTTGATTCAAGATCTGCACAACGCCACAACAATCGCACGCCGAGCTACTGTGTCCCATATTCGTCGGGCGAACATTCACCGACGGAAAGATGGGGAACTGCGGGAAGAGCTCGTCGAGGGTACAATCACGAGTCGAAGGGGTACGATGAATTCTTCGAAGCGACCTAGAAGATGAAAAAACAACAGTAGATTGGCCTTTCATTATTAGTCGGGGTGGATGCCATTGTCCCGTTCATCTTGGGGATTATATATCCCCTTCCAGTAGTATACAACACAAGGTAGACATATTTCTGTAGATATCTTCTCATCAGAATCAACGCACAATTTCCCGCATTAGCATTCTTCTCCGTCCAGTTACCCGCGTAAGTGACCTGAGTATTTCGCATAGTGTTTGCCTGTGCTTCGTTGTCTTGGTATCAGTTGGAGGAAGAGGACCAGTACGCAGAGATGCACGCCGCAGATCAACCTAATTCACGGTATGGACGGTTTTGTTCTGCATTTCCAATTACGAAAATTGGTAGCGATTGCGTCTCGTGGAATGAACTGGGTAATTAGAGAAGTCGGACTTCATTGTTAGCTAGCGTCGATGCATGATCAGTGGTACCGTGTGGTGGACATACGGTCGAGGCATGTGGCATGGATGGTGGGCTGATGGGCTCAAGGGGTGAGTCAGTCGCCTCAAGGGAAACAGACATTAGTATAAGCAGCATCAGCTTCGGCGTTTGAGAAACACATGTTTTGGAAACTCATGTAAATAAACAACAACGATCGAAAGATAGGATATCAACATTCTCCGCATCCAGTCCGCTAAACAAGATTCAAATTTTGTGCAGCAAAACGAAACGACCTCCGCGGTGAAACGAGCAAATCCTTCCTCCATTCCTCAACAATTACTCTTCCTGATAGCTCAACTTTCGCATCTCCCCGAGCCGCTGCCTCGCCGCCGCCAACCCGTTCTCCAACTGCAGAATCTCCACCTGCTGCTCCATTTCCCGCGTCTTGAACTCATGCCCGCTCAACTTCGTATAATCCTCGGTCTCCGTATCCCCGCGGTCCCGGTCCGCGATGATCTCCCGCACGCGACTGACCAAGCCTCGGCACGCGCTCGTGACCGCGCGGCTCGCCGTCTCCAGCCGCTCCTGGCTCTTGCTCATGAAGCTGGCCTTGACACGCGACGCGGCCACCAGCTGCGCCGTAGACGCGGCAACGTCGTTGGACGCGACGATGAGGCGCTCCATCGACACGCCGCGGCCGGAGATGACGCCATCGGCGGTCTCGATGAGCAGGTTGGTCGAGGAGGCGACGGCTTTGGCGGCGGAGATGAGGCCTTCGGTCCAGCGGTTGTGTTTCTTGTAGAACGCCGCGCGGGAGGTGGAGCCGCGGCCTTCGCGGACGATTTCGTCTTGCGAGGCGGCGGCGGCGCGGATGAGTTGGGCGATGGCGGTGGTGATGGCAATGGCGGCATCGAGGATGGAGCTGGGAGGTGTTAGCGAATGATTCGGTTCATGGAGCTTCCCAAAACTGGAGCGTGTATACGTACTCGTGAATCCTTAACTCATAGGTGCTGTAGTCGCTGCGGTTCTTGTTTCGCAATTTGTCGAGGCGCTCAGAGGCCTTATCGATGGCTTGAGCGGCAGCGTTCAACTCGTTGTCGACCAAATTCTCCAGATTTTTGGCGTCCTTCAAGCTGCTCTTGCCGGCGAACTGCTCCGCCAGGTTGTTCAGCTCCTTCAAGCGTCGCTGCACTTCCAGATTGTTATGGATGACCACCTCCAGCTTGTGCTCGTCATTGTCGATGTCGGCGAGACGGTACGACATGACGCCGCGGAAGAACCCAATCGTCGATTGCGCGACTTGCCGAGCGCCGCCCAGGAGCGCATCGCTCTTCTTCTCGTCGGGCGCGAACCGGGTAAGTCCCTTGGTGTTGGACAGGACGTCGGCCGCCGATCCCGAGAAACTGTTGAGGGTACGGATCAAATCGCCCGTGTCGCTGTTCGGGCCGTCGACGATGAAGGCATTCATGGCGGTGCTGAAGTCCATGGCGTTCTGGCCCGCCTTCTCGATCTGACTGAGCACATACTCGCCGGACGCGTTCTGGTTACCCGCTTGCATGGTGCTGTCCAGCTCGTACAGCGCCTCGTCGACGCGAACCACGGCAGCTTGCAGCACGCTATCGATGAGATCCGAGACCTTCTGCACGTTTGCGCGGAGCATCCCGTCGATGTGACCGTCGATGGCTGTGTCGGTATCCTGGTGCGTCTGTCGCAGCTCATTCAGCTCTAGCAGAGTCTGATCCATGCCCGCTTTGAAGATTTCGAGCTCCTCTTCCTTCTCTCGCAGCTGTCTTTCGAGATCCGTATCTCCATCCCGTAACTTCATGTGAAGGTCACTGAGCTGCTGAGACTTGCTTCGTAGTGCCTCCTCGAGGTCTGCAACCTCACGATTATGGCGGCTGAGCATGGCGCTCAATTCGGTACCCTTGCCTCGTTCAGCATTCTCGGCCTTGTCGAGTGCGAAGCGGAGCTCTCGCTTCAGCTTTTCGAGTTCCTCCTTATGCCCACCGGTCAATCGATCGCGGTCATGGAGTGCTCGATCTCGCTCTCTGATCATATCAGCAAGCTCGAGGTTTTTCGTCTTCAGCTCGCGCTCGAGTTTCTCACGACGCTCGATAGCTTCTTGTGCCGATGCGGCCTTGAGCTGAGCGGACTTGTGCTTCGCCAGTAGCTCGATGTGCTCGTTCCGTAATTGCGTATACAATTTAGCAAGGGCCTCATATTTCGACCGCCACGTGTTCAGCTGCTCTTGCAAAGCTCGGATCTGATCGTCTTTCGAGTTGATCTGCTGCTGGTAATTTGAGTTCAGCTGCTGAATCTCCGTCTCGAGAGCCTTCATTCGCTTGTCATATTGTTCGAGCATCAGCTGATCGCGCTCGTACTGCGCACGCGCTCTCAGGTTCTCTTGCTCGAGCTCGGCCAGTCGTCCTTGTGTTTGTTGCGTTAGCTGTTGCTGATACAACTGGTCTTGCGCAAGCCGTTGTGCATCCGCTTGGCGACGTTGCTGGTCCTCGAAATCTCTTTGGGCTTGCTGCGCAGCTTGTTGTTGCGCTAGCTGTGCCGCTTCCCATTGGTCTTGAAGCCGTCGTTGTTCCGCCTCATATTCATCCTGCTGCCGCTTCTGCTCATTTTTCCAGAATTCGTTCATTGGTTCTGGATCAACGGAAGGCGCGCGGATAGGTTCTGGCGACGGTGGCTTCTCAATCTCCTTCGCTGGTCTTGCAGGTAGCCCCGGTCGCTCCTCGTCCTCTCCCAGGAGATTTGGAGGATCCTGTGGCAGCTTTGGAACAGTGATTAAGCTTGTCAGGTAACGCAAATTGGAGCACTCGTAGTAGAACTTGACAAGTCGATAGTGTTGTCCGTTGTATCGCTCCCGTAACGGCTCGAGTGCCTCGTCGTCGCCCAATGAAGTGTGCATGGCTCGAAGCATGCTTGTGATGAACTTGTAGATCCCGTAGGCTTCTTGAACAAGAGGTACTAGGGCAGAAATACGACATTCATTATTCGATCCGCTTCGGAAATTGGCGAATATCAACTTCTGGAAGTGCTCAATCTGATCTTGGAGGGTCATCAAGTCGGAGATCGTTTCATAGCTAGAGGCTTGTTAACTTCAACCTATTGGGGTAGGGAGTACGGCAACTTTGTACCCTTCATTCGGATCGTTGATCGATTTCAAACTGATGTATTCCTCATACTCGAAAGTTCCTGTTGATAATGAGTATTGTCGCTGCGTCAGAGACTCTGGAGTAACATACCATTGAACTCAGGATGCTGCCGATGGAACGCAAGCTTCGCCTGGAGGTAGTAGACGTACTCCGAGATCAAGGTACCATAACCTACATCACCTGTCAGCACGTATTCTCCGGACGTTTATGGCAGAAACCCGTCGTCGGCCATCCAGAAGCAAAATAATAGTCAAACCTCGTTGTCCACCTGCAATGTACCCGTCTTGGTACGAACCTTTCGTGCCTTCACCAAGGCCCCCGACCCCTCGCTTGAGACTATCAAGCCAGCTGACATGCTGCTGGGCCTCTCGCAGGGCGACCGGGTGGCCTTCTTGGAGGACTTTGTGGACGGTGATGAGGGCTTTGAAGGTTTGGATTTCGTCGGCGAGGATCGGTTGGCTGGAGGTGGACGCGTGAGCGGTCGGTTGGAGGGAAGGTAAACGAGAGGGAAGGGATGCTCACACTTTCATGCCAGACCAAAAGGATTGCGAGGACTTGTGGTCCCATGTGTAGACGATGCAAGCGCGAACATGTTTGCCTAGACGATGATAAGCATCTTGTGCCGTGATCGGACATGGGATCGAGAATGCATACGCTTCGGGGCTGTCTCATCTATCATTCTCCATCAGCTACCAGGCCTACTCGAAGCATTCGCACTATCATACCTATACTCGTTGCCTTCCGAACGTTGATGGCAAGCTCCGCCTCCTGCCTGTTGCGCACCGTCAGCATTCGCAAACTCTCATATTGGAAGGTCTCCCTGGAACCACGTACTTGCCCATGTCAACATGGCGTGTAGTAGTATACGCCGACATGGCTGTCCGAGATGCGTTCAAGCACTTCCGTTGTGTCCGCGAAGACTCCGGCCAGTACGCGCCGGAGGCGGGAAGCTGGGGAAGGGAGGATTAATGATGCACGTGCTCGATTGAGGAAGTACTCGATGGGGAAGGTCAATTAATTGGAGAATGTGGAAAAGCGGAGAGAAGGGATCAAACACCCTGTACAGTGTGGCGTAGAAAGAGAATTAGAGGGTTGAAGCAATGGGTGAAAGGTCCAAAGAACAATATCAAGAAATCCGGATGTTAAGATTGCCTCCGTGACATGAAGCTCCTCACCCGACTTCCCACTCTTTGGTGTCTCTCCCGTTGCTGGCGGAAGCGTAGGGATTGTTAGGGGACGTGCGCGGCAAATCCCTGTTCTCAGTTCTCTTCGCCGCGGGATTCGTCACTGTAATGGCGCATGCGTTGTCATGTTCATGAAAAGCCTCGCTGATGAGATGGCTCGCCTCACTGATGGCATTTAGACCTGGATCCAGACTCGGATGGTCATGGACATGGTTTGATAACCTTTTTTATGGCTGGATCATGGATTCATTGGCGGATGTGAGGGAGGAATTATCCAGTGGGGTGAGATATTCGGCATTTAGGGGACGAATAGTATCCATCTCTGACTCCGTACAGAGTCCAAGGGTTGAATAAAGAAGATATGGATGCACTGCGATCCTAATAAGGTATACTCTGATAGATAAGGCTTTCTATTGTCCATAGAAGTAAACACCTGGGGTAGCGTTTCCAACCCAACCGTCCCATGCTGCAACCAGTCCCGCGCTCCGATGCAAACCGCTACCATTCCAACGCCTTCCTCTCCAACTTCTTCAACACCACCTCCGTACTCCCTTTAACCGCTCTCGATTTCGCCCGCTCCTTGACCCTGGTATAGAATACCGGACAATCCTTCGAGTTGCAGCTCACCTCGTCCCCAAACGCCGTGTTCTCGCAGGTCCGGCAAACCGCGTCGATATCCCGCACCCGAGTCTCGGCCATCTGAATCCGTCGCCGAAGCAGCAAGGCCGTTTGCGCCGGGTCGTGCAAGCAATCCTTGCATATGGGCAAGACGTCATCCGTATCGAGGAGCTCCTGTTCTAAGTCCGTCCTCTTTGGCAGCTTCGCTCGACAAAGCAAGCAATTCTCACTCCGCATATAGCTCTCCAGCGTCTTTCCCATCCCCCCTCCACCGCCCGTCGGCGCGATCGCACGAATCCGCTGCACTTTCTGCATCTCGTCGTACCACCCCCGGATGTTCGCCCCGACCAGATTGAAGATCCGCTCGAGCGGTGGGATGAGGTTCTTGCTGATATAGTACTCCGCGTCCAGCTCCAGGGCGTCGTCGTTCAGGAGCTGCTCCGGGTCGACGCACCGATCGATCAAGCGAGCGCCAGGCGCGCCGGTGACGACCACATACGGGACGCGCTCGCCATACTGCGGTTCCGTGCGACGATCTGCGAACATTTTACGGGTCGCGACGAGGGCCCCTGGCGGAGGCGGACCGCGGTCGGAGTAATTGCCGAGCCTGACTTCCTTCGCGAAGAGGAAATCTTGCACGCTGGCGCGGCCTTCCATGATCTTGCGGCATTGGTCCTGGAAGTACGCTTTGATCTGGCTCAGGTCCGCTGTCCGGAAGAGCATCTTCAGCGCTGTCTCCTCGATTTTCTGCTCGGCGACTGTACCGTCGCGTCGGACCGTCTCGATGCCCTTGGCGTCGAACTCCGGAACCGCCTGGTTCGGATGCTCGTATTTGAATCCGACGTACCGCTTCTTGGCAAGGAGGACGCACGGATGGTAGACCTTCTCGAATTTCAGCTTGATGGGCCGCGGGTTTGCGGCGGTTATGGTGTCAGCGATTTCGTTACCGATTCGGAACGCATCATCGCGCGTCCGTCCTTTGAGATGGATGAACAAGCTGTCGGTGTCTCCGTAGACAATTTCGGCTCCCCATCGCTCGACGGAGTGGATTATTGCGATTGCGCGTTCCAGCGTTTCGCGGCCGGATTGGGTGATGCTGTCCGCGATTTCGGCGCACGGCATTCGTCCCGAGAAGCTCGCTGAGGTATAGCCATACGTGACGTTTGCGATGAGCTTCAGTGCCAATTGCCGGTTGTTGAGCAGTTGTTGCAATGTCTTGTCGTCCTTATCTTGCTTCATGCCTGACTTGACCATGACTCTCGTCTCGAGGATCTCCGACAGCATCTTGGCGAGCAAGGACTTTCGGATGTTGGGTCGGACGTACATCAATCCGTTCGGAGCGACGTTGATATCCTTCTCCAGTAATTCAAGGAGACCAGGCTGACGCTCTAGCGTCGTGAATCCGAGTTTATTCGTTCCTCGCCATGGCGCTACCCGCCCCAGGCAGGTGGAATAGCAGTAATTGTATGCAATCATTACACTAGGATACAGGCTCTGAAAGTCAAGCACCAGCACTGGCGAGCTGTAGAAGTCACTCTGCGGCTCCATCACCAGCGGCAGACATTCCAACGCGTTCTGCTGTCCCACCTGCTTCCGGCTCGGCGACACGAGGATGAAGTTCTCGGGTTTGGCAATGCGGAACATGAGCGACTCGACCTTAAACTGCGATCCACGCGAGAAGACCGAAAAGAAGTCCACACCCAGCAATCGCGCCTGCTCGCTCGTCCGCGGAATGAGCTCGTTGGCGTCCAGGATCTCCAGATTGAGCTGGACGCGGGACAAGAAATAGCTCAGCGTCTTGGCTAGCTCGCGCGGCTTCGTGCTGGTGTACCACTTCGTGAGATCCTCAAAGGAGAAGTGGGGAATGCGCTTTTGCAGGACCTGAAACGCCACATTCTCGATCGTGTACTGCAACAGATTCAGCTCCCCTCGCATGGCCCGCCAGATGTTGATCATATGCCGGCCAGTTATGCGAATGACGCTGGTATGCGTGAAACCCCAGCGGTCGGCATCTTTGCCGAACCGACCGTTCGCGGCGGACTTGACTCGAGAGAGTTCGTCGCAGAGGTTGTACTCGAACCGGACTCGCGCTCGCTCGATGAGGTATCCCCACGAGCCATTGTGGACTTCATATCCAGTGAGGATGTCAGGATCGATCTCGCGGACGATGCCAACGAAGCGATTGATGAGGTCAAGTTCCTCCTCCTCATACATGACCTCCACATTTACCGCCTTCTGGATCTTCCTGGCAATGCCATCGCCCTCGGATAAAGTAAGGATCCCTTTGCGCATACCGTCGTCGAACTCATCTTCATGGTCGTCCGTCTGAACGCAGAAGAAGATGCAAGAGATTTCGTCCTCCTCGGGATCGGGTGTAAGAGCGCCTCGAGAGTTAACATGCACTTCCAGACTCATGATACTCATGTACTGGGCCTCATATTCGATGCCGTCCGACTTCGCTTGCTGTGCGTATTTTGCGCCGTGCTTGTTCTTTTGGGTCGGACCACCGATCTGTGACAGATCCGCCCCAGTCCTCGATTGTCCGGACCGGTTTGAAACCGACTTCCCAACTGACTGCTGCGAAGGAACCGGTTCGGCCCGTTTCTCTTTGTCCTCCTGCTTTAGCCACTCCGACACTTCGGCATGGGTCGGGGGTGGAGCCTTGATCTCCCAGTTCAGGAACGTGCACCTGGCTCTTCGTATGCCATGGTCTATTTCTTGCGTCTGGACGTTTGGGACAGGCACAGTTTTTCCGTAACTTGCATCACCAAGTCCAGTAGGATCGAAGGGCGGTAGAAAAGGGAGCGTGTTACTTTGTAGTTTGAATGCCCTACCCGCGTACTCTCTTGTTCGGTCCGGAACGTCTTCTTCCTTGCTGTAGTATGCGTCCTGGTAGATGACAGACGGCAGCCCATAGTCAAGCATGGTGGTTTCGACATCGCTTATAGTTGGTGGGGAGTGGGCAAAGTACACTATTTGTGTCTGTGTGGCAGGTGGAAACGACTTTCGAGCTTCATCTGCTAGTGCTAAAACTTGTGCTGTGCTTTGGCTCGGACCGTCCGATGAAGTCGAGGTCGCGGTCGCCTTCGATCCCTTCAGCAAATTAGTCGCTTCTGACGAGGCATCACTTTGTAGATGCTGTGTTTCATCGTGGACTAAATCTGCAAGTTGTGACTTTCGAGAACTTGTGAATTCCGTCCGTTGGCTAACCCTTAGCACCGTTTCAGGATGATTCGGGTTCTTGACAACCGGGAAAGGAAGTTGGGATGAGCTCCTCTCTTCTCTGCCTTGAAATGACATCTGCGATGACGCTTGTACAACAGAGTCTTCCTTTTCATCAGGCATGATCTCATTTGTCTCAGTAATGCTGAGATTGGACTCGCCAACCGATGGTGGAAAATGATCGTGAGAAGCACGAACTTCACCGAAGGAGTTGCCGGTGAGTGACAGGAGTTCTTCTAAGCTTTGCCCTTTGCTACCCATTTTTCGTCGCTTGGATTGACGATCCGATAGCTCGGACAAGCTGCGGTCCAGCGCCCGCTTGTGCAGCTCTATCCGCTGAAGGATATCGGCTTGACTCCTTGGTTGAGGTGCCTGTTTATCCAAGTCATCCGCGAGATCGAGGTCTGATTTCTCATGGCTATATGGAGTCTGTGGGCGATCGATTCCGTCCTCCGCTACGACCTGACCTTGAACGGAATCCAAATCCTCTACTGAAACCGTTTCGTTTGCTGGGGACAATTCTGCGGCAATGCGAGACTCGTCAACAAAGGCATTCTCTACTCGAGCAAGCTGCGTATGTTCAGCGGGCTCGCGTCTAACCGTTCTATGCAGCCTGTCGGGATACAGTTCGGTGATGCTCTCAAAGGCGGTCTGGATCTTAGCTTCGCGTTTCGGATGCCGGATGAACTTGTCGAAATCTGGCGGAGCATCCGAAGCGCTGCGCTCTTGATCGATGATATCTTTGATAGTGTCGCGAAACTCCTCCTCATGAATCCAGCCTGCGGCTTCCGCATTACGTTCGTCGGCAGACATGGACACCAGGACCTCCGAGGGAAACGGGCTCGACGATGGATGGGTAAGTCCCATTCTTCGTTTCCGGCGTATCGTCTCGTCTTTCCAAAGCGCCGCCATAGAGCGGACGAGCTTTTCGTCCGACGAGATGTGCACGAATCGCTCCGAGAAATCATGATGGATGTTTCTTAGTTCCACATCGTGGCGATTGAGTATATCCTGAACACATAAATCAATCTCGATTGAGCAATGACTTTGCCTGGGGAAGCGCTCTTCGTCCAGCGTCCATCCATTCGGGATCGATCCGTCATGCCACTTGTGATTCGGGTCATTCTGCTCCTGGTACTCAGGTACGGGGCTGCGGAAACGGACTTTCGCGCAGTCAATGTAAGCACAACCGTATAAGTTGTAGTCACACATCCATTGCGCGAGATATTGCATATGGCTTTCATGCGGTTGAATAACACGCCCAAGGATCGCCCCTTGCACAAGGAGGTCGGCCAGGCGGTTAACGTGCAATGGGTTCAGTAAATAGACCTTGAGGTAGAACTTGTATCCAACACTATAGCCAAAGAATGGCACCGCTTTTATCAAGGAGATGTGTGCCACATACATCGGCTTCCGGTCCGCGTTGGGATTTCGGTAGCTGACAGCCAGGGCACGGTCGATAGATAGTCGAACAGTGCATATGTGTGCCTCCACTGAACCATATCAGCCGACATATTATGCTTACATTCGAAGCAGCATCAGGTCACCTTCATCTGGATCAAGTCCTCCCTCATACTCTATGTATAGGTACGGAAAAGCACCATGGATATGGGCGCAAACCTTCTGCCCCGTCTCGGTCGCCCCGAAAATCCGAACGATCGGAAACCTGGGGACATTTCGAGTCTGCGATAAGCTCTGGACGGGAAGCACCGGTGGATCGAACTCTGAGGGTGTGGTTTGATAGTGATCCACGCAGTTCAGTCGGAACCGGAACGGAAATGGTGGTTTAGCCATGGGCTACGTCGGTAATTGTGAACATCGAAAATCCAAGAAGACATGGTGTGGACATTTGCATCGGCTCCATTCGACCAAAACGCGAATTATGCCTAAAGGTGCTTACCGATGAAGACATGAAGTTCATAGAAACGGCACTTTGGATCCAAACAATCCCAACAATGTGTTCGCGTGACGCTCTACGCGTTCCAGTCCTCTGAGGGTATAGTTGCCTTACAGCCTGAGGCACCAGTATGTTTCAACTTCAGTTGACATTCGATATTCGGCGCCGTTGGGAACTGGCTTGTCGCATTCTACCATCAAACTCGCCGTGACTTCGACTACTCTCAGAGAAATCATATAATACCTTCACCCAGGACCTTGGCGGTGATGTTATGACTCGTCTGAGTGCCCTACACTATTGATCGAATCGCCACTCAGACTCCGACACATCAAGCCATCCGGTTTATACATCGCCCGCCTGCCAGCTGCTATCTAATCACGCATTCCTTAACCGCCCAAAATGCCTCCTCCAGGCCAGCCCAAGAAACCGGTCGAACCCTCCGTCGCCAACAGAGACCGCAACGAATACATCCCCTCCTTCATCTCCAAGAAGCCCTTCTACATCCCCGAAGATGACACCACCGACTACCTCGAGCATCAGCGCCTCCACAAAGCCGAAGATGAATCGAAATCTTACGACCGCACCAAGAAAATCAAGGCCAAGGCCACCAAGTTCCGAAAAGGCGCGTGCGAGAACTGCGGGGCGATGGGACACAAGGTCAAAGATTGCCTGAGTCGACCGCGGAAGCTCGGCGCACGGTGGACCGGAAAGGATATCGCGGCGGACGAGGAACGGCAAGCGAGGCTGGAGGACAGCTGGGATGCGAAGCGGGATCAGTACGCGACGTACGATGCCAGCCAGTATAACGAGACCGTAGTGCGGGAGTACGAAGAGATGGAGACGTTGAAGCGGCTGGCACTGAAGAACCAAGAGCAGGATGACGAGGAGGAGGGAGACGCGAAGGGAGATCGGTATGAGGAGGAGGCAGACATGGGCCGCAATCAATCGACCGCCACGCGAAATCTGCGGATTCGGGAGGACGTCGCGGGCTACCTAAAAAGTTTGGATCCGGAATCGGCTAAGTACGACCCGAAAACGCGGACGATGTTGAGCGGCAGCGAAGTGATCGACCAGGCGTCAGAATTGGTGGCCGAGGAGGGATTCATGCGCGCCTCGGGCGAGGCGGCCGAGTTCGAGAAGGCGCAGAGTTATGCATGGGAGTCACAAGAGCGCGGCGGCAAGGACCAGATACATCTACAAGCAAACCCGACGTCGGCACAGTTCCTTCGGAAGAAGGAGAAGGAAGACGCGGAGAAGAAGAGGGACGCGAGGAACAAGACACTGCTGGAGAAGTACGGAGGTGCGGAACATCTTCAGGCGGCGCCGTTGAAAGACGCGGCTGTCATCGAATCAGAGCGGTTCGTGGAGTACGACGAATCGGGACGCATCAAAGGCGAACCGAAACCGATAGCGAAGTCGAAATACGCAGAGGACGTGTTCATCCACAATCACACGTCAGTATGGGGAAGCTGGTGGTCAAACTTTCAATGGGGCTACGCATGCTGTCACTCGACAGTGAAGAACAGCTACTGCACAGGAGAAGAAGGGAAGCAGGCCTTTGAGGAATCTAGCCGATTGAGAATAGCTGGCGATATCGAGGTTCCCAAGGAGATCGCCTGGAAGGAGGAGGAAGTCCTCGAAAAGCACGTTCCCAACGCCGTGGAAAGCGATGAAAAGGCGAAACGGGATGAAAAGGACCAGGAGGCGCCGAAGAAGCGGACCCTCAACGAGATGATGGGTGGAATCACGGAAGAGGAGATGGATGAGTATCGTCGGAAGAAAACTTCTGCTGCGGATCCGATGGCCGGAATGCTAGGGCAGGACGAATTAGTACACTAGCCATTGATTCCCGAATGAACAAAGCATTTCTATGCAATCCAGAATCCCATGGTCGTGATCGATGTCACCATGCCAGTCCGGTTCAAGCGTTGTGTGAATCTCGTTGGTATTTTTGAAACCTCAGCACGGAATGCCTTTAGTAATGCAATTGAAGTCCATTGACAACGCCATATGCCCGATAGTCCGACAGGCAGCTGAATTTTCGCGTCTCCTCAATCGAATCGACGAGCTCTATCGCCCGCCCCAACCCCGTTCGAACCGTCACGATCTACGACGACGCCACTTGCGGCCCGCGCGCGCCCTTCGGTGTGCCCTGCTGGAATCCGTTCGTCGATTTGCGCGCGATCGTCTTCAGGTATCGCATGCGTCCGGTACCGGTGGTCTTCCTTCGCATGCCCTTCTCAGACCAGTTGACTGCCTCGCCATTAGTTGGGGATGTCTCGGGGTGGACGTCAGTCCGTCGGTGCTAACGTACACTTCCTGATCTTCGCCTGGGGATATCCGCACGAGGAGCATTGGTGCTTTTGGATATGGAGGGATCGACGACCTAGAGCATTCATCGATTAGAGGGGATTCCGGGTGTTATCGATCGGAGGGCATACCGCATCGTCGGCACAGGGTGTGCGACTTGTTGTGGCGCTTGCCAAAGCTTGACGTTCCCTTCGCTGTCGGGGTACATTAGCACCGGATCTTCAATGAGAGGTCTTGTCGGAACGTACTCATTTTGAATTAGAGACCGGGGACGAGGATTCGCGGGATGTGGTTGTGGTAGAAGTGAAGCTGAAGTCTTGTCGTTGAATTCGTGATATGTGTGTGATCCGGCTCGGTTGGTGATTTTCCGGGGTGTGGGCTGCGGCGAACTTTAGCAACCGGAATAGCAGGTTTGGATTTTTATCAGGCATTAAGGCATTACATATTTGATGCCTCATATTTGCCCTCACGCCTGGGGCAGCCCCACTCATATGTAGCACCACACGCGCACTATAGCATCTGATCTGTGTTATTAGCTGCGATACCATTCTACAGATAAACAATCCTTATTGGAAGCGGATTGTATGCGGATCGATCGTGATGGTAAGTTGAAATGATATAAGTTATGCCACGCGGAACTGTTCAACCTCACCCAATTCCTGGGAAGCCTGGCCAAGGGATTTGTGACAGATGTGCTCGAATACGAGCGTCGTTTCTCATGCTTGTCGAAGGAGTAATAACATGCATGTCCTCTTCTTTTGCTTCCTTGTTTGTCATGTCGTTTTCTGCTTTCCAATTCATCAAGCGCTAGCACGTCTATGGAAAGTTGCGTCACAATGGCAGAAACGAAACCGTCAAGAAAAGTGGTGGAGTACCCGCCCAAGCATAAGGACAAGTCCGCACATCAAACCATCTACATATACTGGGCCGTTCCCGAAGATGTTCCTCATCTCATCGAGATCGAACGCAGCGCAAGCGAGCTGTTTCGTCACATTGGAATGGACTCGGTCGCGTACGATGAACCCCCTTCGGAGATACACCTCATCAAGGACTCCATCAGCAATAGGATCCTTCTCGCGAGTGAGGATCCGTCCTTAGAAAGCTCGCCTGTGGCCTACTTGAGCATGGAATTAGACGAGGATCACAAAACAGTGTACCTGGCTCAGGTGTCGGTGGACTACCGCTATGCGCGGAAAGGGATCGGAGAACGGCTCATCGACCACCTCGAGGCATATGCGCATAGGAAGGGCTACGAAACGATCGTGCTGACGACCTTTAAAGATGTGCCGTGGAACGGTCCATATTACCAGCGATTGGGATTCTATGAACTGGATGCGGAGCAACTGAAACGGCCGGAACATGGAACAGTCAGTGACCATTTGGATGCGGAAAAGGAGAATGACCGTATCAATAAGTGGTCGCGGGTTGCAATGAGGAAGGATTTGTAGCAGCATGGTCCGATATTATGCGTCGGACTGGCAGCATCATGACTTTGTCGTTACATGCACACGATCTAGAATATCATGTGCCCTTCAGCCGCCCCCATTCCGCCTTCTGTTCAATATGCTGTCCATCCACACTAACCACTTTCCCCCGATCCCATTCTCGTCCTTCCCCCTGCTTCGCCCAGCGCACATCCTCCTCCGTCTTCTCCCCACCCTTCTCCCACTTCTTAACCTCATCCTCCGTGAACCCCGCCTCTCGCAACCGGTCCGCACCCTGCTGCTTCCATTTCTGCCGGTCTCGGAACGCCTCGACCGCCTGGTCCCATTCCTCCGCGACGTCAGAATCCGGTTGCACGTCGGCTGACGGATCGTAGTTCGCGTCAAAGTGCGCGTCCATGGCGGAGGAGGAGATTTTGCCGCGCCCCCGGGTTCGGACTTTCGGTTCGGGAGGCGGGAGGAGCGGACCGACGATATCTTCCAATGGATCGGATTCAGCAGCTCTGCCGGCACTGGGAGATCGGTGATGGTTCACATCCTCTCCAACCCGCTTGCGTCGCCGTTTCTCGTCATATCCCTCTCCATACTCGCGCCGACTGCTCCTACGTGATTCCTTCCTCGGTACACGTGTCCTTGACCCCGATCGGGTTCGAGAGCGACTCCGTGACCGTTTATCACGATGCCGGCGACTCGACCCGTGCTTCGGGCTCCGTGATCGAGCCCGTTCGGAATGGTCTCTTCGGTCTGGAGATCTGGACCGATTTCGACGGCCTTTGTGCTCTCTTGAACTGCGGTGCCGAGGCTTATCATCATCCGTTGCGGCGTGCCGGCGTCTTCTTCCATCCGGGCTTCGCGACCGAGTCTTGGACTCTTCGCTGCAGGTCGGGCTTCTGCGTCGATGTCGTCTCCGGTGGCGCGTATCTTCTCGGGTTCGCGATCTCGACCGTGACTCGTCGCTACGTGATGAACTTCTATGCCGATGATATCTGTGGGGTCGCTTTCCCTCGCGCTCGTCAGACCGGACTTTCGTTCGCTTTGGCTCTATCGGATCGTCGTCGTCATATCGCCTTTTGCGACCTCTGTCACTTGTACGATCGGGTCTGCCCGACTCAGCCACCTTTTTTTCTCTACCACGGCCAGCTGTGCCTCTCTGCATTGCTCTTAATCTGGCTCTCGACTCTCCGGCTTCTTTGGCGAGGAGCGCAGCATTGTGGGAGTCGGTTTCTCGTAGGATGTGTTTCAAGAATCGAGTGTTCGGCTTAGGCGCTTGAGTCGTCGGCCTATAAATCTCCGGTTAGTGGCTATACTATCTCATCCATCATTATATAAAGTTCATACCGCTTGGGCAAGAATGCGCCGATTCCCAAACTTCGATATTGTGACGAGCTCTCCTTCGCATCCTTCTTCAACAACTCCGTGACATAGTCATCGCTCTCGTTCGCATCCGCCATTGTGCCGCTATTTTCATGAAGTTCTCTACAGGGTCCAAACCCCGTTATCCAAACTCCATTCAATCCATAGTGTGAATCACAAATATATGGTGTTTGAAGGTGGAATCTGCAAGTGACGTATCTGACGCACGAGATTCTCCACCCAATCAGCGATTTGCTCTGCGCCAGGCGACAAGGCATTTGGCCGCTATCGTCCGCCGTGCAAAAAGTGTAAACAAACCGACGGGCAGCATTATTTACCGCCGTATCCAGCTCCTCATCAGAACCCACCGCTCAAGAAGCTCCAAGAAAGGAATCGTCGCTCATAATGGATCCCTCAGTTCAAGAAACGCTTGATAAATTGCTCGAAACTCAGAGATCTCACCAGCTAGCTCTCCTCCGGCTCGCAGAATCCATCCGTGGAGACGATGCATCAACGGGGGAGAAGCGAGACTCCGATGTCTCCGCGGACCCGTACGAGAATGGCACACCGGCGAGTCTGCAGGCTGAACTGGAGCATTACAAGGTATAATTTCCATTGGCCTTGCTGGGACCAGTAATTAACAACGAAACAGGAATTGTTCTCGAAACTCAAGTTCTCGTACATCGAGCAGGTCACCAAGGAGAAGTTCCTACGAGCCATCACTGCCGAGAACCCGGTCTACGTTGAGCAACAAGAGAATTTGGAATTGGAAGCGAAGTTAGCACAGGACAAGAGTGCTTTAAAATCGCAGAAGCTTGAGGTGGAGCGAATCGTTGCGGAGATCGACCGGAAGGCCAGAGCGACGACCCAACGTACGCAGTCCAATCGTAATACACGAAGAGTAATATTGATATCAATGACAGAATACGAAACCCTCGCCGAACAGCAGACGCAATTGGAGTCGCTGCCAATACAGAACACCGCACTCGCGGAGCAAATCGAGGAACTACGGGAGCGGCTACCCCATTCAAGCGACGAGCCTCACCTCTCACTACCACTATCACAAACGCTAGACCTCGCCGCCGCGAGAGACGAGGAACTGGCCGATTTAGACGCGCAGATCACTTCGCTTCAGATGCAGGAGCCCAAGAAGGCGCGGGAGCTGGAACGGCTGCGCGCCGAACTCGGGCCGCTAGAAGCGCAGAAGATGAAGAGCGTGACGGCGGCGAAAGAGGCGCGGCGGAGGAAAGAAGAAGGGGGCATTGATGATCTGGAAGTCAAGGGTCGGTGGTATCGTGCGGTGGATGCGACTTTACGAGGCATGTTGGAAGTGGATGGCTAAACGGCTTGATTCTGTTTCGAACTGCAATCACTTAGGCTAATGATACCCCGATTTGAATTACACTCTGGTGGCGTTCCATCGGAGCCCCTCTTCTTCCTCCGTCGCGTTGCACGCGTAGCTTGCGATGACCGCTCCCCAGCCTCCCTGGTTCGCTTTTACCCAGGCCACGACCTCTCCATCCTCCAGCACCATGCGCTCCTATAGGCGGGTGGTCGTGCCGAACAACCTCACGTTCTCCGAGTCCCAGATGCCAATGGAGTTTTGCTGGCACGACCAATCCGTGTCCGCGCACCGCGTCTCATTGTTGTTGAACACCCAATTGCACGCCCCGTAGGATGCGAAGTTGGTGGTATTCTTAATGTGCATGTACCATGCCATCCTACAATTCGGCTCGTCCTCTACGCAGTTTTCAAAAGTTGGATCGCTGGGCACTAGGTTCCTGCTCCATGGCACCGGGGCAGGGACAACGCCTTTTCCTTGCCAGTAGGGAGTCTCACTCATTCCCGTCGCCATGAAGACGTCCTTCGCTCCGTGGAAGTTGTACTGATACAGAGTGTTGTGCTCGAACCCCGTTCCGATTAGCCAAGTAGGATTGGTCGATTCGATCAGCGCTCTGCGCCCGGTGCTAATGAGGATCGACCCGAAGGTCGGACGATCAAGGTCGTGATCAGCGGTCCAACCCCACATGTTCTTGATATATGCTCCGGAGCTGGGGGCTAGGTGGAGGAGACACCATGCGGCAGGGCAGGAGGCTGCATTCTCAGTGCAGTTCGTCCCTGTTCGGAGGGTCGTTCCTAGAGATCCACCGACGCGGAAGTGAACATTGCGGATATGGACAGGTTCGCTTGTATCATCAGGACTAAGGCTGACCTCAAGCTATAACTATATCAGCGACTGATTTGGGTTGAATGAAACCAAGAAGGACTTACAAGTTTGGCTCCAGGCAACGGCTCAGCCACTGATATGATGAAGTCGCTCATGAGAAGGCTTCCTTTCTCTCCTGGTTCCCCAACCTGAACAACTGGCTTAGGATTGTCTGGATCCTTGAAGTTGTCTCCTTTTGCAAGAATAACCGTAGCAAACGGATCTCCGACCAGTCTCAGTCCGGCCGGTATATAGATGGTGTTAGTGACGGTGTAAATACCAGCGGGCCAATAAAGCAGAGAGCCAGTCTTCGCGGCCCATGCTAAGCGTCGATTGATATGCCAAGTATCGTCGTTGAACCCGGTGCCACTGCCTTCCCAGTCCTGTGTACTCTGCGCGTATGAGCGGCATCTCAGGTCGATGAGGCTCGGAGGGTTGAGTGTCAAATACTTGCCGTCCTGTATCAGTGGCAAAGAACGCGGAGCATAGACGCTCGTGGCATTAAACCAGATTCCTCGGATATTGTATGGAGCATACTAGCAATGTTAGGACTGATCGGTCCAGTAGCCATCATCCACTAGCTTTGCTTCCTCGAAGGAACATGTTCTCGATGTTGCCGGTAATGATAGCTTCGCCTTCCACCTCTAGCGTCACTCCATCATTCACGATATTGTCCAGCACCAATGTGTTGGCTGCTGAAGTAGATGCTACTGACTTGACTAAGCGCCAGCTCCCCTGGCCCAGCTAGTCAATGACAGCTGTCGAACCCGTTAGGTTGGTTGCATCGATGCCTGTCCCAACGTCACGGAAAGTGTTATTCAGGACGACGAGATTGTGGCCATCTTGCGCGAGGATACCCGTCTTACAGCCTTCGAAAAGCAGGTTCTTCAGAACCCATTGCTGACCAAAAACTGGATTCCAATGTTCCCACCGTAGAAAGCCAGATCATTCTGCTCTTTGTCAGGGGTAGATTTGGTACTTGGGAAATTTACTCACGACGATGATATTACTGTTGAATTCGTACCAAGTGCTAATGCCACGATGACTGGAATTTTTGGCCATGTCTAGAACGGTCAGTACGATATCGGCCACTGAGTGCTTTCATCCCACTTACTGAATACCACATTCTCCAACAATGTTGCTTGACTGAGTGTCCAATCAAGTAAAGTCAGCTCACGCCCGGGGTCCACGTCCACTGAATCGATCACGAGGTTTTTCATTCCGATGTAGAAGTTATGCATGCCTACCAGGTTCGGATCTTTGCCGTAGACCACATGGTCATCAATCCCGAAGTTTCGCGATGTCTTCAATGTGGGGGCTCACGAAGATCACCTATGAGAACCGTGCCGGCATAGAGCTGGATACTTCCATCCATCAGGTAAGTTCCTTGTGGGAAGTAGACCACAGCTGGTTTTCCCGTAGTGCCATAGCTAGTCGTGCTGCGGCTAGGCCCTCGTTCTCCACCCGCTGCAGTTTCTCAGCAGTGTTCTTGCAAGATGGAAGCTTCTTACCGTTAATTGCCCGCTGGATTGCTGCAGAAGCACATTGGGTACCGGTATTGTCGGCTCCGAAATCACGCACCACATCGCGCACGACCCGGTAGTCCTTTGGTATCCCTATATAATCCGCGGCCGGATAAGGGTAGCTCTGGTTGATGAAGCCGCCGTAGATGTAGTCGCAAGGAGCGCTGTCAGGTAGCGTCTGGGCCAGCTCCGAGGCATGTGCAGAGAAGAGAATGTGGAAAATGAAGGGAATGATAGGAAAGATCATCGTCATTTTGCTATTGGAGAATACCAACCATAACTTTGAAGAATGAAGTCGGTACTGTACTCTCAATCCCCGGGACTTCCGGTTGCGCCTGCGGTTAGAGAAATGGCTTGATCTGCGATTCATGTAGGGAGTTAGTAAATCGAATGGTTGAAAGTTTGGCCTGATAATTGCGCGAATTCTTAAGGAATGAATCTTTTCTATAATATGGTACTGAAGAACTCTATTGATGATAAGGCAGAAATAGCCATTCACTGCCACAGAATCCACTCATTGTGGTATCACTGTCATGCCGTGAGTAGCCACTGAACGGCAGAAATCATTAACTCGGTTTAAATGGACAAGAAAAGGCAGGAGAAAGGAGTTCCTTTCATGGTCGATTAACCAAAGCTGTCTTAATTCAATGGTTTTAGCTCCTATTACTTAGCTGAACTCCTATTCTAACCCACCAAATAGTACGGAGACTCCAGTCGTCGTCGCAATATCCATATAGTCATAGGCGCCTCATCCCCCATCAGTCATCGTTAATCTTGATTCGTACGCAAATCATATTCCAAGAGCAAGTAGATGTACAATTGATAATGAAATGCAGCTCGAGATATCCGTGTCGTACTTCATATCCATAAAGCTCCACCAAGCGCAGGCGTGTCCGTCAGTCATTGGCTGATGATCATAATCAACATTACCTATCCCTAATTAACTCCTGTCATCCTTTCCACCTGGACATCAACCTACATGTCACAACCGATCCTCGATATTGTCTAAAGACGGCGGGGTCTTAGTCTTGTTTACCTAGAACTAATGCAATAACTATTCCCTTGCCCAGGGAGTGACGGACTTCGAGGGTTTGTGACAGCATTCGACTTTCGTTCATCCGCAATGATTTGCAGTAGAAACCTATCAAAGGCAGTAGTTCCATCGATCCCCTTCTATAGCAGCGAATTGTACTTCTTTTGCTCCTGATATGTAAACCGCTTTTGAAAACCCCTTGGCTCATCAATATAACCCACCCCTCAACGGCCTTCCAAACCGATTCTCCTCCACCCCGTCCAAACAATCTAAGTAAAGAATCCACCCCTTCTCATGCCACTCCCTCAAATCCAACCCGTCCTGCCCAGCCTCCAGCGTATGAGCATTGAGGGTGAAATATCCATTCCCCCCGCTCCCCTCCCTCCACCCCTCCTTCGAGTCCTTCCTCAACTTCCACACTTTCACCCCTGTCCCGGCCTCCACGCCCTTCAACCCCTCTGGGACATCCATCTCCACGACCTCGCTCGGCCCAAAGCACGTAAAGCACCTCGTCCCGCACTTCCCGCAAAAATACCAAGCCGACGCCCCCGAAAAGCAGCGATACACGCTCAGCCCCTCGGGCCCCATGTCGGCCAGCTCGGCCGAGTCGCCTGTGGAGGTGGCGGGGACGGGGGAGAGGAGGTAGAAATCGTCGGGTGCGCAGGGGAGGCGCACGTGGAAGTAGCCGAACTTGTGGCAGGTGGTGCAGTTGCATTTGCGGATGCGGACGGTTTGGTCGGCAGGCGCCTTGGAGGTGAGGATGGCGGGGGGGAGGGTGAGGTGGACGACGTAGCGGATGTGGCCGCAGTGGCAGGAGCCGGTGTAAGGTTTGCGGGAGGGGGTTTCGGTGGACATATTCGGTACCAGTACGAAAGAGAAGTGTAGACTGCCGTAGACTAGCAAACGGTTGGACAATTTCAAGCGGTAGGAATCAAATATGTAGTATGTGTGGCAGGTCTTGGAAAGCGGTTTCTTGAATCGTCCGAATACACAAGCCAATTTTATAGACGCTTTAATACCATACTGCTGGATTCGGGCAATAGATTCATTCGAATCTAAAATCAAGATAACCCCACATACAAGGGTTTTCATGGATTGCTGCCTGCTAACTACTGCATGTCAGAGAAACCAACGAGTATCCGTATAAAAGATACCGATAATTACGTCTTACACGGGCGATCCTTTAGTCTCTTGGTATTTCCATCATTAGCTCACTGCAGTATGCAGGATTACGAATACCCTAGAGCCTGGACAAGCAGGGCTTCCTTAATAGTACGGCCAGCCGGTCCAGAACATCATATCTACCTATTCAGTTCAGCATAGCATTAATTCCTACGACAAGTAATGTTATCCAGGAGTCTCCAGTATAGATGAAGTGGATAAAGTGGAAGAATCAGGTAGCAAGGGTTTGTTCTAGGGTACGATTGGACATTATGGATCGAGTCGACGAACTCAGCAGTGTGGACAAGGGACAAACATCTCAAGGGATAGAAGTTTCAAGGCGCGTATAATCCAGCTTATGATAAGGAAACGGCATATGATTAAAATCCAGCACTTGACATAGGTATGAACAGGAAGAAGAACAGAAAAGCGCTCATAACCAAGTCCACCAATGGATAGGATAGGTATTGTCCCTCAAAAATCAGGTTGTGTACCTGCATCTATCCCAACAGACCGCCACCAGTCTATGACACCAACTATTTCGTCTTCTTGTGCTCTTTCACCGGCACCGGGATATTCGGATGCTTAATCGTCAAGCACCAGATATCCAAGTAATCGCAAATCGCGACAATTACATCCACCACAAAGCTGCCATAGACACCAATGCCCATGCCCAAACACAGGAACATGAACGCCACCTGATACACGTCCTCTCCCAACGCGCTAGGCCATCCCAGCCAACCATCCAGTCCGATCTTGGCGCTCACCTCCCGCTGCAACACCGGTCCCATCGAGTCCACGATGCCGAGGAACAGCGGCAGCCATAGGATGTTGCTGCGCGGGAACGCGGACTTGGTTAGGTGCGCACAGATCATGCGGCCGACAGAGTAGGCGTTGGTGAGGCCGACGAAGAAGATGAACGGGACCAGATGGTGGTGCAGGATCTTCGGTTGGAGCGCGAGGTAGGCGGGGACGAGGACCCAGGTGATGGCGAACGGGAGGAGGCCGAGGAGGGCGACACGGCCCTTCTTGCCTTCGGCGCGTCGCACCTCGATGACGTTTTGCGCGGCTTGCACGGTGTTGACGATCAACATGATGCTGCCGTAGAAAATGTACCAGTCGGTGAACGCCGAGTTGTAAATGAAATCCGGGATCCAGGCGGCCTTGGAGACTCCCAAGGTGGCCATCAGTGAATTGCTCCAAAAGGAGCCACCGCCAAGGAATGCCGTTAGTCCGTAGATCACACACAATGTCAAGATGCCTTCCACTGGACCGGAGATCAACCCCAACGTGAGGGTATGGGTATGGTACTCCTCCCATGTCTGTACGTAGAAGGTCCCCAGGCTTGCGAACAGGACCGCGACCGTCCTCCATCCTTCTCCTAGGTTCATGGTGGCGCTGAAAATGAGGACCTCCAGCGATGTGTTGAGGGAGTCGACCCCATGATCAAAAAGTTCACCAAGCGGTCCGGACTGGCCAGTCCGGCGTGCTTGCGTTCCGTCTACGGCATCGAATGTTTGGTAGAGGAATAGTCCGATCGACCAGGAGGCATAGACCCAGGGTGGGCAGTCGGTGTCAAGACCGGGAGTATACCATAGGAGGGTGAGGAAATTGATGACGACGAAAGAGAATCCACTCAAGGTGATCAGGTTGGGGCTAGGCAATCATGATCAGCTTGGAGTTGACATAGACAGGTGGCAATACACTTACGCCATCCACATGGGAAAGAGTTTGATGACCACATGAGTGTAGAAGGGCTTGAGGATGTATCGCGATGTTAAACTCTTATCTACGCCGGAGTACTTGTACTCCTTCAGCCTGGGGAGCTTGTCTTGCCTTATGTACACCATTGCGAATGAGGATCGGAGGAATTCAAAATCAAACAACAAGTATTGGGTATCTTAGGGGATAGAGAGGTTCATAATTGATGGAAGATGGAATAAGATGCGACGACGACGCCGAAATCGCAAGCCCGATGATCTGGAAATGTATCGTGCAATAATAATGAACACGCGACAGGCGCCGGTTCCAAATTTCGAGGAAGGAGCAGGGGGAAGCCCTGGATGGTAGTCACGACGTCATTTCTTGGCATCCAAGTTGATTGAGGAGGGGACCAAAATATTTACACAACAATAAACTGCATCTATGACAGGGGCGTCCTCACGTGTTCATCCTTCATCATCTCCTGGTCACTCAAGATGCATTGGATTGTAACGACTGCCGACTGATATATCCACAGCAAAGAGGTTGTTATGATACACCTCAAGAAGTCGAGATGGGGAAAAACTAGAAATACGGACACACCGGGTCCGCCCGTCCTTTTTGCTCGTGCAATTAATCAATCCCCCTGCTAGTCCAACTAACCCTAGCCCCCTTTGAGGACTCTATATCTGACATGGCGGCAACCAACTCACGTCCGTTGCAATGTATAACTACAAGAGACATGAGATCCCAACGCGCGCGCATACCGATATAGAGCTATTACAGTGCTCGTATACGAACACAGCGGTCCGATCTTGTCTGTGAAGGATACAACGTCTCCTGTCATCAACTTGCCATCCATGCCGGTACATTCCGAGTCCTAAAGCCCTTTTGTAATATTACTAGCAGAGTTTGGGTACAAGAGTGACAATATCTTTCATGTCTTTGTCAATTATTGCCAATATTTTTGCTATGCACTCCCAGACGCCGATATCTGCATATCCAGTGCGGGATTGTTCTCCTGCAGCCATTCCTTTTCCGTCTGTGTTTGGAGCAGAGATCATATCAATCACTGCCAACCGCGTCGACGATGCCTCTATCCCTATTGCGGCGGAGAACCCCTTTGGTCGCCGACCCGAGAATGCTGAAAATTTCAGCTACTGTAATGTCACTGTCTCACATACCCATCCAGGATGGGGCGACACTCTTCGGACGCAGGTCTGGTTGCCAACGGAGAATTGGAACCGACGCATGCAGGGGATCGGGGGCGCCGGGATGGTCGCCGGCCTCTTCCCCTGGAATGAGTTCCCTATGTACAGCGCCGTCGGTCAAGGCTACGCCGCGATGACCGTCGATGGGGGACTACCGAGCTGGACGACAGAGGATTGGGCTCTGCTCAGTCCTGGCAACGTCAACAAGTACCTCCTGGAAGATTTCGCGTCACGAAGCCTCGCAGATGGGACGTTGATTGCGAAGAGTGTGATCGAAAGCTTCTATGGAGAGGCACCCCAATACTCTTATTGGGCGGGATGTTCGCAAGGGGGCCGTCAAGGCATGATGCTCGCGCAGAAATACCCGACCTTATACGATGGCATTCATGCCTCAGCTCCAGCTTTTAACTGGAACCATCAAATAGTTGGCAACTTCTGGCCACAGCAGGTTATGAATGAAATGGAAGAGTACCCACGGCCCTGCGAGCTCCAGGCTCTTACAGATGCTGCCATCGAGGCATGCGACGGCCTTGATGGTGTCAAAGATGGTCTCATATCCGATATGGATGCATGCTATTTCGATCCATTCACCCTGGTCGGGAAGAGGATCGGATGTCCGGATGTGCGGGGAAGGATTCCCATCAGCCAAGCCGCAGCGATCATTGCGGACGCCGTGTGGACCGGCTCGAATGGGAACTCTCCTGTAATTATGCCTGGCTATCAGGCAAGCATGACATCCGGGTCCTCACTCTCTTTTACGGCCTGTGATAGAGAAGGGTCCTGTAAGGGCTTCCCATCACAATTTTTCACAGACTGGATAAGGCTCTTTGTCCATAAGGACCCGTCGTTCGATTGCAGTCATATGACGAGAGAGGAGTTCTTGGATGTCTTACGTCGATCTATTCAGGAATATGGCATGATTGATACCTATGACCCCGATTTGAGCGCCTTCCGTAAAGCTGGCGGCAAACTTGTCACATTCCATGGGTTGGTAAGTGGTCGCGATCTCTCTGGTCAATCCACAAGAACTAGGGATATTCTACTAACATAGTATACAGGCCGATGAAATCCTCCCGTTCGGAAACACCCGAAACTACTACGAAGAAGTCACCAAGCGAGACCCCGATGTGGCAGACTTCTATAGGTACTTTGAAACTCCTGGTCTCGGTCACTGCGGCGGCAACATTGGTCCCGTTCCGAACGGAATCTTCGAACGGCTGGTTGATTGGGTTGAGCACGGGAAAACTCCCGAGTCGTTGACGGCGACTGGACCTCCTGATAAACGTGGAAAGGTGAGAAATCGGATCTTGTGTCCGTATCCTCAAAAGGCAAAGTATGATGGGAAAGGAGATGTGAATGCATATGACAGCTGGTCTTGCCATTGAGGATTTCAGAGATACCAATCATAACGACTCCATAAAGCTATAATTGTTGTAGGGACCAGCGACCAGTTCAAGCGTTGATCCTCCAGTCAGAACGCGGCGACTTTCAAAGTTATCCAGGAATAATAATAAAAATGGCCCAATGAAACGCGATTTCGTCTTTAGGGAGTTGTCCATCGATCCATAAAACAAGAGCGTGGCTTTTTAGTTAAATGCTTGTGGTAAATTTCCGTTCCCACATTCACTGGCCTTCCGGTATCCATATTGTAGACCCTGATAATTAGTTAGTGGTGGCTGGCGAAGTTTATTTCTACATCACCGCAACAACTAATTCGAACAACAACTCTAATATATCAACCACACGAATTCCAAAATGAAGCGCAAACGACAAGAAAACGTCGATCACCAAATCTCGAAGCCCAACGCGCTCGCCTATTGGGCCAGCGTGAGCGCGGACGACGACGGCGTGCTCGGCGGGTTCCCCGAAGTGTCCCCCATCGACATCGCCGGATCCCGCGCCTTTCTCACCGAATTGATGCTGGGCAAGCCACCCACATCGAATCAAGAAATCGCGTCCAATGACCCGGGCGACGAAATTTTATTCGACAGAGTCGTGGACTGCGGCGCCGGCATTGGCCGCGTGACGCGCAACCTCCTCTCCCAGGTCGCGCGGACGGTGGATATCGTGGAGCCGGTGAAGGAATTGACGGACGTCGTCACGGCGTCGGATTCGTTCAAAGACTTGCGGGATGCGGGGCGCATCGGCGACGTCTTCAATGTCGGTCTGCAGGACTGGGTGCCACCTGAAGGACGGAGGTACGACTTGGTCTGGACGCAATGGTGCCTAGGCCAGCTGACGGATAAAGAGGTGGTGCGGTACTTGAAGAAGCTCACCGGATCGCAGGGTTCGCTCGAACCGCCGGCGAAGGGCGATAAGTCACCCTCGGAGACAGCGGGCGACGGGTACCTGACGCGGAACTCGGGGAAGGGGTGGCTGGTGGTCAAGGAGAACATCATTACGCCGCAGGCGGATGGGAAGGAGCAGGATCGGTTCGACAAGGTGGATAGCAGCGTCACGCGGACGGAGGGGAAGTTTAACAAGCTCTTCCGGCAGGCGGGGCTGGAGGTGGTGCAGGAGGAGAAGCAGAGCGGTTTGCCGGAGGGACTGTTTCCAGTGATGATGTGGGCATTGATGCGAGTATGGTGACAGGACGTGATATTGAGAGCCGTTGAGATAGTTCATCTGTGGTGCGGTTTGGAGTCGGTTACATGATGCGCTGGTGTTGGAGGAAGCGCTCCTGGATCAATTGGCAACACTTTTGGTCCGCTATGCTATTATTATGAAGCTTTCGATGATAATTATTGACCAAGGAATAATCCGCTACGGTGTTGAATTGCTCACAGGATGCCGTTTCACAAACCATCTATGATAGATGGTGCGGCCTTGAGCATAGCAGGGATGTGCCTGTCTTTTCGGTGAATGAGCGAAACCTGAAGCCTTATCAAACGCATCTTCGAGTTACTTTGTAGCAGCTTTTATTTACCAAATGGTTCCTTCCCATTGGGTTCTATAAAAACCCAATTTCAAGTGAATTCTAGCTAGTATGCCATATGACGATACGTTATGGATATGGATATGGTACTCGGACATATCGTTTTAAACTCCGCGTGGCCGGCAATCAGAGACCCCCACTATTCCCCCAACTTCTTATTACTACACCTCATCCGTCACCATTGCGCTTCACGATAATCTGAGCATTGATTCTGATAGTAATCCGTACTGTACTTCTGTACTCCAAGTACCGGAACTAACAATTAAGGTTCTTGGATCATGCCTACCACGAGATCGCAAGTAGATAACGATGCCGACCCTCCGGCCGTAGCCGACTCCAGCGCCGTGCTCATGGACTCCGAATCCGAAGATACTGATGATTTCGATTACCAACCAGCCTCCGAGCGGCGAGAAGCTGAGAACTATAGCGTAGATGATGAGGACGAGGAAGATGACGAAGGTGAATACGTCGGTGAGAGGGTTTCCCAAACGCTCTATTCGAATCATCGGACATTGCTGAACGATGCCTCCGGGGTGCTTACAGATGCGGACGAGAACCTAATCGTCGATTTTCAGTTTAATTCCGAGGATGAGGAGGATGACCTGGGCGATCTGGATGACCTGGACGAGGACCAGACTGGCGAGCAAGCTGAAGGTGGAGATGGGGACGATGGTCGTGGGCCACTCTACGGTAAGCGCACAGAAATCCATGTTGGGATAATCCACCTCCTAATTGCGCTATCACAGTGACAAGAGAGCAACTGCTTCAAATCCTTGGGCATTCTGGCGGCTTAGGCGGATTCCTGGCCCGTCAACTTTCAGACATGGACGAAATCGGCGGAGAGTATTGGGGTCGCCGACGAAGGAAACGGAGCGGTCCCCGAGGCCCCTCCACATTCGACGCCGTTCCTAGCGAGGCTGGCCAGAAGCTGATGAATTCGGGCAAGTTTGGCTCGGTCGATCGAAATGCATTTGGGTACCGAAGAAAGAAGAAGTTCTCGGCAAGGCTGTTTCAGAGGGAGCTCGGCATGGGGTCGTATGGGACGCGGTCGGCGAGCAATAGCTTGATATCACGGGTATGCCTCTATAAATTTGGCGTTGGCTCATGCTAGTGCTTACGGCGTGCAGGGAATGGTTCCGAGCACCGACACCGCGGATATGATCATCCATTATAATCACCGATGTTACTCAGGGCAGTTCTCCGATGACGGCAACTTCTTCTTCACCTGCTGCCAGGATTTCAAGGTGCGCATGTACGATACCTCGAATCCGTACGATTGGAAGTATTATAAGGTAAGCCACGTATCCGCGCCTGTCCCTATTACTCCGCTGATCGACTCTAGTCCGTCGACCATCATGGCGGCAGCTGGACCCTTACCGACGCCTCGCTTTCCCCCGACAACCGCTTCCTCGCCTACTCCTCCATGCAACCTACAGTCTGCATGGCATCCACCGACCCCGAATCTGAAACCACGCCCTTCCAACTCGACTTCACGCAGATGGGCCAAACCGCCCGGCGCCCCTACCACGACGACCGACATTTTGGCATCTGGTCCGTCCGATTCAGTGGCGACGGCCGGGAACTGGTCGCGGGAACAGGCAACAACAGCGTCTACGTGTACGACCTCGAAACCCGGAAGACCGTCCTCCGCATCCGTGGCCACCACGATGACGTCAATGCCGTCTGCTACGGCGACAAGCAATCCCCGCACATCCTGTACTCCGGCTCCGACGACGCGACCATCAAAGTGTGGGATCGAAGAAGTTTAGGCGACGGACGACCGGCTGGCGTGTTTCTGGGCCATACCGAAGGCGTGACGTACGTCGACAGCAAAGGCGACGGCCGATACGTGCTCAGCAATGCGAAGGACCAGACCGCCAAACTGTGGGACCTGCGGAAGACCATGAGCGCCGACGAAGCGGGGAAGATCAATACGCTGAATGACTACTCCTCCGGCTTCGATTACAGGCAAGAACGTTACGATGTCAGCCAATATACCCCCCATAAGAACGACTGCTCGCTGGTGACCTTCCGCGGACACTCGGTCCTATGGACCCTCATCCGATGCCACTTCTCTCCGCCCACCAGCTCTGGCGGGAGCTACGTGTACAGCGGTAGCCGCGATGGCAACGTGTATATCTGGAACATGGACGCCACCCTGGCCGGCAAGATCGACGTGCAAAACTCCACGATGAACACCCGGCCGGACGACGAAGAGATGCGGACGGCAGCACGGAATACCTGGAGCAGTCGCGGGAATATGTGGATGGCATGCGTACGCGATGCCAGCTGGCATCCGAGCGCCCCGGTTATTGCTGGTAAGTCTCGATTCCATTGTTTTGCGATGATACCTTGCAAGCCTAACATCTCGACAGCGACCGCATGGAATGGGCGTGGCGCAGTGCTTGGTACCGCAAGCGTGCACACGTGGGGACCGGGAACGGGCGAACGGGACGAGGGACCGACCAAGGTCAACGGGCAGCTGAAGCCGGTTTATTCGAGCGAGCGATCGGGGTCCTCGCCGATACGGAGACGGCGAAGACGAACCGTTGCAGATGACACTGATGATGAGATGCCTGGGTTGGTTTAGGGTTTCCAGGCTTTACGATGAGAGGTGGTGTGCACCAAGGAATCTCCACGGTGAACGAAATTTGAATGCCCCTTTTGGTGGTGGATTTTGAGACCGAGGAGTTGGGAAACCGGTTGCACTAGGAACTGGAGCATTTGTCGCAAACACGTTGCTCCCCCGGTTCTCATCCAGCCAGGCATGTGGACACCACCATTTTATGACCAAGAAAAGATACCGCTTCATTTTGTACAGTCATGCAAGATGCTAGAATATGATGCCGATACCCGCCCGTAACGACCAATAAAGCCTTCCAGTTTCCCCGGAGTGCCTAAATAGCACCAACGCCACGCAACCCATAGATCCGTCGGCAACGACCTGACGCGAATCGCAGCCATTCATGGTCCTGGCAATCGTTCGGAAAGGGGGGACACGATTCGTCTGCGCGTTGCTTCGATATGCGCGAGCTCCTTCAAGCACCGCCCACTAATATGTTGTTGATCGGGATATGTACTGCCGCGCGTCGTATATCAGCCTCGCGATTATCTTCAGGCGTGGTCACAGCACATACTCAGCTTGATGAAGTATCCGATGCCGCCCATGATCAGGAATCCCATGCCGACCGCCTGGCAGATCTTGAGGAACTCTCGCTTGTCCGCTGAAGGCATGGTCAGTTAATGTCATCGCTATGAGAGGGACGAGACACATACGCTTGGTGCAGCGATGCATGAATTGGGTACCCTCTTTAATGAAATCCTTGGGGATGTCGGCGATTTCCTTGAATTGGTCGGACATTTTGGCGATGCGGTGCGGATATCCGATTTAAGTGTTGGACCGACTGGGATGGAGGACGGCTGCTGCAACGGCGAAATGGCAATTGGTTGCGAGGATTGGGATTGCGAAGGGTGGATAAGGAGGAACTCAACAACGATATCTAAACTCACCAGAGCAGCCAGAGATGCCAGATATTCCAAGTGAAGCTGTCCAGGCCGTCACGTGACGTGGAGTTGAGCAGGGATGTGGCGACAGGGTCTCAAAGGTCACGTGGTAACATCCAGTATTCAATATCACGTGATCAGCCTCCCGTTCTCAACTCTCACTTCTCAAGATTCACGCGAACATTCACGCCGAATCCTCGATCTCCGTATTCCTACGTTCACTGTACCACATCATCCATCGCTAGGGAATCACTGACTCCAGCTTGCTGAACCCGATCGGAAGACTAACTTGCTTGGTACGAGATTCTCCTCCGTCCTCCTCCATCCTCCACCGTTCGTCGAACTGAACTGACTAGCTCTCGGTCCCTTTAGCTTGACGAAGGCATTCCAGTGACGCAGTTGGCATCGCAGTTGAAGGGCGTCATTTCCACGCGCAAACCGTATTGATCGCTTTTCTCATCATATCAGGGCCATAGGCAACACGTCGATACGAGGCTCGGCGATCATACCAAGGCTGGGGTTTGTCCGCCTGGAGGTCGTGGTGACGGAAATCGGTCGAGCACAGAGCTTGCCTTTCCTCGCATCCATCAATATACCTTACACTTGTCAAGGCATCCCATTACACGCGTCGCATTCTTGTCGCTCAGTTCGATAAGTGGACTCAAGCCTGTACCTGTCGAGAACTACCGGGGCCTGTCAAACTCGAGAGTTAGATTCACAGTTGGAAGATGTACGTATTTCTGGTCTTCTCCTCTTTCGCAATATGGTCTTTTTCTTTCCTTTCACGGAACCATTTCTGGAATATTCGTTCTCCAGAACCGGGCGATCGTTGCCTTGCATTCTCCTGTCCCGCAATTGTCACAAGCTGATGGATCGCATGTGACTATCTACAGACCTGTACCTCAGTTATCATCCAAGTGCATGAGCTTCCTCCAGTAACTAAACGGCAATCAAGCGATATTCAACTTCTCCGCTGCTTAACCACAGCAGTACTGTTGCGTCGCCATGGCTGAGGAGGATAATTTCGACATCGACATCTACGGCGACGATGCCGGCAACGACTATCAAGGCGAGCCAGAAGAGCCCATGCAAGATGCCAAACAGGATGACGGCCCGACCAATACCGCAGGCGATCATAGCCCACATGATGCCGTCCACGGAGCCGAGGCCGGAACCGACTCCAACGAGATGGAGGTCACGACCAATGGCGGAGTGCATGACAGCCACGACCACAAACCAAGCCAAACCCAGACACCCGCTCCCCAGGGTACCAAGCGCAAAGAAGGCCCGGATGACCGCCCTGTAGACCCGAATGCAACGACGGCCATCGTCCTCGGCGAATTGCATTGGTGGACGACAGAAGATGACATTCGAGGTTGGATCAACAAGTCCGGGTGCGAGGACGAACTGAAGGATATCAGCTTCAATGAGCACAAGGTGAACGGCAAAAGCAAAGGGTAAGTCCCTCTATAGACGAGACATTTCCTATCCTTCCAGTTCCTCTGCGATATATCCCCCAAAACCCTGCAGTAGAGTTGTAAAGACTAACACCTCCCAGCCAAGCATTCGTAGAATTCCATTCGACCCAAGCCGCCACAGCCCTCAAACACCGCATCGACTCCTTCGCCACCTCCACCGACACCTCCCCTGTCGCCGCCGCCCTACGAAAACACACCGCCAACTTCCACCCCGCAGGCAGCAACCCCTACCGCACCCTGCCCAAAGACGTCCCCGGCCGCAACCGCGATTCCGGCCGCGAAGGCCACTCCCGACCTCCCTACAGCCAATCTGGCGGGAACTACAGCGGCTTCAACCGGGGCGGACGCGGCGGGTTCGGGAATCGAGGCGGGAACGCCGGCGGCGGCTACGGCAATCGGAATTTCAGCGGCGGAGCGATGCAGGGCGGCGGGGTGCAGGGCGGGAATTTCGGAGGGAATTTCGCCGGGCCACCAATGAATCAGTTCGGCGGCGGATTCAACCGCGGGGGGATGATGGGGGGGAACATGCGAGGTGGGATGGGGGGCAGTGGACGCGGTGGGCGAGGCGGTGCGGCGATGAATCCTGGGATGATGGGGGGTATGGGAATGCCGATGGGAAATATGGGGATGCCGAACATGAACATGGGGATGGGAGGGATGGGTGGAATGGGCAGCATGGGGATGCGTGAGTTACTCCCGGGCTGAGACGCTTTCGACCAGCACGTACTAACTGCAATAGCTGGTTTCACGAATCCTCAGCATTTCAATGCCGGCGGCGGGTTTTTCAACCAAGGCCAACAGGGCGGCAGCGACGGGAACTGGAATCCGCATGGCGCCAAGCGTCCCCGGCCTGAGTGATTCTTCCTCAGCCACCACTGAGTACATCGTACTCTTCACATCCGCACTCTCGATGGGCGGAACCCCAAAGCGCGTCCGCCATCTCGGCGTTGGATACGCGGAGTCCAAGATGGGACAAGCCAGGAGGCCCATTAGCACTCAGCACTCGGTGCCTGCCGAATTGACGGGGCATCATGGAACCTGAACTGGCGTTCGGCATAGGAGATTTTCGGATTCATACGGATGGGGGGCGTCGGATCATGGGCCTGTACCACTATTTATCATTATCGTCACTGTAGGAAAAGCGAATGGGAATTGATTTCGAAGACAGGGTGGCGTTGCGATGAGTTTTGGTATGTGCCTATCTGCTGATATCTAGGGGTTAGTAAGGGCGGTTACTTCAATGCTCTTCGCAACAGTCACTCAACCGTCTTTGAGTTGGATGAAAACCAAGTACGCGATCGCCCCAATCTGGGGAATACTCATGGGATCTTCCTTCGACGCTCTCACTTTTGCCCGATCGGCTCTATCGCCCCTACTTGCTTCCGATAAAGCAAGATATGCCGTCCATAATGGTTCTCCACTCGTCTCACTATCGCCTCACCTCTACTCCTATCCTTCTTTCGTTTTCCCACTTGGTCTACTGCCGTCCTCACTAGGACTCCTATCTCTTTCATTTTCCCGGCCGGTAGACTTTGCTCCGGTTCATCGTCCCGCGTCCTTTCGTTTCCTCCTTGTGGCCATTGATCCTACCGCCGAATCCGTTTCATTGCTGTGCTCCGCCGTCTCAACGGTCTCGACCGCACCATTCCTCTGATGCTCTCCCGCAACCGGTGGAAATGGTGGGCGGGAAGAACCAAGCAAAGAGCTGGGAGGCCGGTTACAATCAAGCGCGGTAACTAGAATACATGGGGCGAAAACGTTTGAGCTGTTTTATTGCCACACGAACAACCCAGCTCTTTAATCATACATCTATAGTTATACGTGTGTAATCCAGGAATCATCCTTCTGCCTTCCTGCTCAGAGTCTTCTCTTGCCATTTATACAACACGGCTCATTTGTTTATACATTTGCAACCTAGGAATCTTTCTTCAAGGTGCCGTCCTGATCAGAGTCGCCTCTTGCAATTCGAACAACACGGCTCTTTCATTACACGTATCCCAAACCAGCAATAATTCTTCGGCGTGCCGTCTCGCTCAGTAACTCCGCTTGCTCGCGGTTCGTTCGATACTCTCGTCCCCTCGTGGAAGTGGATCGGAATCTTTCACGGTCGAAGCATTTGAAGCTGGATAATCCACAACGACCGGTCTCTATTTCGGGACTAATATCCCCAGGTTTTCCCGGTTCTTACGCTATCGGTGAGAGTTGCCCCAGGGCAGGAGAATTAATACGCCGAGAGCTCATACTCCCTGCCACCATGTGAAGTTTCTCCGCCTTCATACTAGCGCTGCATGGTCAGTTGGAATCTTCAATCCGAAGCACCTGGCGGGATTTGCCGTCTCGAACCACCGAGGGTCCTATCGGGCATGGCCCCAGGGCTTTCGTCACTTCTCCGAGGTGAATGTTCTCCCGAAAGTCGTCGAAGATTGCCCTAAGAAACAATGTATGGCGGGTCCTGAAGGCCTGTCGGAAACGAGCAGCACTGTTTCATGGACGTGAATGTGTCAATTTCCAGGGAATCTTGCTCCAGTGACTTTTAAGTGTGTATCTGTTTCAGTCACCCAGTCGACAATGTTAGCTACAATGCTTTCGGCGCCGGCATTTTGGTTCGCTTCTTGGACTATTATCGGGTTCTCGGGTTGTGCGTTGCTCGTCCAGTATTTTAATATGCGAAGAGGCCAGAACAAGCTGCTAAATTAATATCTTCAGCGACGAGGGGTGAGCTGGAGTGAGTCCTTGGACATCAAGCATGGGATTATACAGTGTGGATGATGAAAATACCTAGATACTGAAATACAGTCTAGAAAGGTAAACGTGGAGATAAGATAGCTGGGTCAAGAGCCGATACCGTAAGATAATTCTTCTCCTCGGCTACAGGCTGCTATTGTACTGTCCATATCTGGAGACACTGTCACAGAGAGGACCAGTGAGAAGTCCTGGGATTGGGGCGTCGACGTTGGTTTAACGCGACTCCATAGTGGCAGTTCGCATTCTTCTTTTGTGAGAACATCTAGCGACGTAGAGAAATCATCTTAAATAACCGAAAATTAAGGACAAAGTGATGGACAAACCCCGCATTCCGCTCCACAGGGAAGATAAAGTTTGGGGGTGCACTAACCTGAACGAGCTCTGGGGATATATAAATTTCAGTGTCGCGGAGATACATGTACTAAAGCACTGGAAGGTTGGGAATTGGGAGGCTTGAGTACCGAGGGCTTGTGTGTTGAGGGTTCTTCAAGCCTTGGACGTTTATTCTGTCTATCTTCCAGACCAGATGGTAGAGGATCAAATCTGGGGGATATTGTGAGGAGGGACGATAAGCTTGATGAACCCCCAGGCGGTTCGTTAGCAAGAGGGGGCCGAAGATCAATATATACTAACTAGCCGTTGAATATCTTGTCGGATTGACAGGGAAGGGGGAGGAGAGCGATCCCAAATCCCCTTGAAAAGTAGACCAGGTGCTTCCGGAATAAAGACACTACACGACTGACACTATATACTGAGTCGCAGCCACGGAAGAACTGGTGAAACTGTGCCGCAATCATATAGTTCCAGGTAACTAGTCCTACCATTTTCAAAAAGACTGGACAAATGTGTACTAGTATTAAGAATTCCGATATCACTTTTGGGATCATACTCATACTACCAATGGCCTACTGCTGCAATGGAGGCGGAAAGGAACTTCGAGAAGCCCATGCAGCGGCAGCACTTCGTGTCAAATCCACCCAACTACGCTAAATCTCCAAAAGGGGCGCCCCCATAGGAATCTAGGAGATGGGTAGATATAGCAAGGCTCGACACACCCCGGCAGATTCGACAGGCATTTGGTTGGTTGGAGGATCTGGAAGTATCCGAACGGCTGATGATACCGCTGGCTCGTGGGGACGCTGGCTCTTGGTCGTGGTGACGCTGGCATCGGGTCGGAGGAGGTGACGCTGGCCCTGGTCGTGGTGACGCTGGCATCGGGTCGGAGGTGGCTGTGGCGTGGCTTTGCACGCAGTCTCGTGACGGGTGTCGTCAGTAAATTTTTGCCTCGTGCGGGAATCGAACCGGGTGTATGTGTGTATCTCGTAGCGCATTATAGCGATCTTGGGCTCATAACTGTCAAATCTACCCAACTACGCTAAATCCCCAAAACGGACGCCCCTAGGACTCTAGGAGAAGAGTAGATATAGCAAGGTTCGACATTCCGCACCTTCAAGCTTGCGGGTCTTAAATGTGGCACGATGGCACAGGAAATATATCAAAGTTAGACGCCGTTGGTTATAAGATAGGGAAAGTAGATCAGAACGCGTGTCTGAGATTGTACCCTCTAGATATTCATTGAGATCCGCAGACGAAGACATCTTAGATCTGGTGCAGTGGAAATGTGTATAGTTGTGAACCATCCAGCGAGAAACAAGAGAGGTAGACGAGAAGAGTTCCCAGATTCCAGCTTTGGTCCAGGTTTATGATAGCTTGCCGGTACCTGGATTCACCGTGTTTGTTATTCGCGTAAATCGTTTCCATCTGGATCTTGTTCTTAGGTCGTGGGGCGCGGCGTAGATAAGCAGAATCTTGGTCACTTCAAGCAAAGGACAGTTGAAATGACTAACAATGAAACACTCGGTAAGGAATGATATGAATCTTGATTTTTTGGTGCGGCTGGTCAGTTAAACGACGTGGCGAGTAGTTCTGTGTTCTGAGCTTCTAGCATGGTACCTAACTACAAAGACACTTTCCGGAGATCCTAACGACTTCATAAAAGCTGCGATGACTCTAGAGACGCAGCTTGTGAGTACTTGAAAGAAAGTACGCAAGATAAGAGACAGAAATGAGTGACTTCAAGGGATATATATACCATATCTTTCAGAAAACAAAATGATGAGAGACTGAAGGATGATGATGACACTTAGGAACCTTATTTGATTGTGGCAAAGAAAAGCGCAAACGGATCAAGTTTGTGAATGATGTCGACACATCACCGGTACCGTAAGGTATTCATTAGAAGTCGAGGATTTGGAGGGAAATGAGGCAATAAAACTTTGATGAGGGCAGCTCGATGAAATACAGCAAGGCTTATTGAAGTAAGAAAGCTAACTAAGTTAGTTAAGTTAAGTTAACTTAAGTTAGTTAACTAAGTAAATGTTGTGATGGCAGGTCGACCTCCGGAATGGCTCCTGTGGTCCGAACTGTGCAGGCGACAAAGACCTCATTAGACCTGTGGTGGAACCCAGTTTGGGGATTGCTGCGAGTAGAGTAATTACGGTTATTTGCAGGAGTAACCGCCCTCCCAGCTTGCCGGGCACCTCTGCGTGCCGAGCCGAATCATGGGTGCTTTGACTTCAGAGCAAGCCAGACACTGCACAAACATTGATATTTTCTAAAGTTTTGTTTAATTCGTGCGCTGTAGCCATTCCTTAACTTCAAGACCACTTCTACTTAAAAAATTAAGTTGGGATCGCCGCCTTCTCGCCTGATTCCCGGAGAGTCTTCTTTCATACCCTAACAGAATTCTTCCGCCAAAGCACCACCATCGTACCCTTACTACGTTTAAAACTCATTAAAGGCCCTTGTCCGAGACTTAGAGTCCTATAACGATGCTAGACATCATCATCACCCTTGAGGCTGGTGTCGGGTGCAAATTTGCACAAGTGCGCCATGCAGATCGCTACCTCAAATCCAAACGATAATGATTCTGGCTAGCATGGAACAATATCCACGTAACATATACACAATCACGATGTAATTTAACCTATCCCTCTATCCAGATTCCAGTAACACGAACTCCAGTTAGGCAGGGACAGCAGGGTTGGTCAACATGCAGAACTGGAAATCCTCTGGTTGACACCTGAGCAAAGTGTCGCAAGCGGCCTGATTTCCCCTAGGCCAGCAACTATGCTTATATGATGCTTCATATGCTTTCTAATAATCTGCTGCAGGAGAGATGAGCGACAGTGGGAAACACGCGTCGACACTTGCCATTGGACGCCATGCGACAGTAGCAGCCTTGTTCATTTGGGACCAGTCAGCCGACTTGTGCATTCGCGCCCGGCCAAGGCGCGAACGGCGAGGCTGAAGTCGTCGAGAGCCAGTGGCAGTATCCATATGCCGGCACCGCCTCGTTCTCAAGC